GGAGAAAAATCCATAGGAATAGCTATATAACACCACACCTGAGTTCAGAAAACATGAAAACCCACACTCAAGGGTTGAGTTTGGGTTGTCATTGAACTGTGGGTTGTTCTTGAAATGTGAGTTATTGTGTTGTCTGAACCCAGTCCTTCTCTAACTTTATCCATTGCAACACCACCACCCACCACACACTTTTTTTCCATTGAAGGCAGTATCAGTTGCCCATGTGGTTCCACTTCTAAGGATCTTGGCTTATGTAGTTGAAGTTCCAATTGCTTATCTGCTGCAGTAACTTCTTTCCAGAACTAATGGACAAAAATAAATGAGGGGCAGGGGAAGACAAATGAATGAAAAGAACCAGAATGGAGCCTCATAAAAGTATGAGACCCTTACAGGATCACATCAAGCATTCCTGTACTGAACAGGAGCCATCCAACTGCCCCAGGAAATCTGTAAGCAAGGTATGAAGGTGATCCATTTTTTGTCCAAAGAATCTACTATTTAGTTAAGCACATAAATGGAGCATCTGTTTAGTACAATGTTCTGTTCCCAACATAGTCAGCCAGCTGCCTGAGGGAAGCCCACAAGCAGGACATGAATGCTACAGCAGCTCCTATCCATGTTCCCCAGCAACTAGTGGAAATAGCCACATTGTCTCTGATACTGAAGGCAACATACAAGTCCTCTGAACACATAGCTATTGACAGCCTTCTCTGTGAGAGGTTTTCCCCTCCTCCTCCTCCTCCTCCAATAATTCCCCACCCCAACATTCCACTTAGGAATATAAACAAGAGTCAGGTTTAACAGAGGTATTTGCCCTCTAGGTAAGGTTTGATGTAATGCTGTTTGTTCTTCTATGTACATTTTAATTTACCTGAAAACCTCAGCTTACCAAACTATATCATCTTTAAATTCCATGAGAGAAGTATCTCCCTGCATTTTCTGATCATTTCATTTCATTATTTTTTAGAAAGTGCAATATGTTTCTACATTAGTATTTTAAAGCATTCCAAAAAGGATGACTCCAAAAGGTTAGTGCAAGGTTAAAGTACCTAATAATAGTGCTGCTACTAACTTTTTTGCAGAATTTTTGTGACTTTAAAAACTGCATTTCAAGCAAAAAGAATAACATGTCAGGCAAAAAAAAAAAGTGGGGGGTGAAGCTGTTCTGGTATGGCTTATGGCTACAATGTACCCCGTTTTATAGAGGGCATTCCTGTACTTGAGGGGCTGCTAGGGACAATCTTCGCTCTGAAGCTATCTTCTGTAAGAAGGGCTGCCCTTGCTGTGTCCAATTTAAAATTAAACTATCAGAGTAGCCACAGCACCAATCTGTTTGCTGTCCTTTGCATGTTGCAGTGGTGTGGAAGGTGCCATTTTAAAGTTATTGCATGCAACTGCAGGTAGTATCTGTCCTAAACCCCAGGACTCTGGTGGGTTTTTGTTTTGTTTTTTTAAGTTAACCTCCCCATAAACACTCTTGTTTGTTGACAGACTTTCCCCTCATGTATTCAAGTATAACTTGATATTTTGATGGAACAATCCAAACTCAGTAAGGCAATATTTATTACCTGGTTTGCATTGTCTCACTGTAGAAAGCAGCCCCAAGAAATTTAGAACAATTCCTTAAAAGTATATTCATTGCATTATATTCACCCATAGAGAAACTCATTATCTGTTATGTACCTTTTATTAACTGATTTCTGTCTTCCCACCTGTTTGTGCAACACTTCCTATGTAAACTGCAAAATCAAATTAAGTTAACAGAAATTATTAATCTACTTTAAGCAGCTATATATTTGCTATAATCAGCAGAAGATACAGAATAACAATTATTATTTTAAGTGTAAAAATAGGAGAAAGTGTAACTGGTAGGGGAATAAATATGTAAGAGTCTCTTCCACAAAAGGATTATTAATAATGAAGGAATGATACTCTGAGCCAACACAGAGAGGAGATTAGAAGTTTATCCACTTGACAGTTTTAGAGATAATCATAAGCGGGTTGATTGGGAAGTTTTTAAAGTAAGCCCCATAAAATTGCAAACGAGAATCCTCTCTTATATCATAGACATTTTCCTGTCTATTCCTGCCCTTAATCCATAAAAAAGGTGGAGGAAACCTCAAGTTTCATCAAGACCTTGCTACAAAAACTGTGTTAACAGCTGAGAAGGATATTTTATCCACTTTAACTTACATGCTTTCAACATCTGGCTTTCATTGTGGAGATTTTTAACCCAGCTTGTCCTTCTACTGTTGTGGTACTGTTCACTTGCAACACATTGCATTGTAACACAAATGAATTGAACTGGTTTTCCAATATACCATGCAATTCTCTTTCATCTCTGCTATGAAAACACCTTCATGTGTTAATTATCGTTGGAACAAAGTAACCCCCTTCTCTAGAACGGACAGAACTTACAGTGGTACCTCAGTTCACGAATGCCTCTGTTCACAAGCAAATCAGGTCACGAACAGCAATTTTGGGGTCTTATGTGCATCTGCCTTAATGCATGAAGGACAAATGTGCAGCTGCTCCAGGAGCCAGTTCCTTCAGATATATTGAAATTGGCTCAAATCAGTTGGATTCACACAGGGAAAAGCAGCCAGAAGGGCTGTGGTCTGTTGATAGATTTGATTGGAATTTGAGTTCTGACAGTGAAGTTGAAGCAGTTTTGGAATGTCAGCAAATAACAGAATCAGATCAAGGCCAGGGAATGTCTGCAGCTCAAGCACTGTTGCTCCAGCTGGGTGGGGATGGTGACCAACCATCCCATGGGAATGGAGAGATAGCCCAGCAAGGGGAGCAGGGGTGGAAGATGATGAGAGCTCCGATCTGCCAATGGGAGAACGGGAGGCATGTTCGGGGTCTTCCCAGGGTGTGCACCAAGAGCTGAATAGTCTGTCAGATGTAGAGCCCCCTTCCCCTGAGGAGGTAACACAGGTGGGAGATCCAGTTGTCGGAGCTGCAGGAGGGGCGGAGACAGGCAAGGAATGCCAGTGACCCGCATCTGAGCATTGATGGAGAAAGTCTCTTAAACAGGACAAAGATTAATGGGAGGGCTCAGAGAGGGTTTAACACTTTATTCTGAGTGAACTCAGAGATGTTTGACAAAAAGGACATGTAACAATAAAGTATTGTGAAAAAGAACTCAGAAGCAGTGTTCAGTCCTTGGGAGAAGGACTGTGCCTCATGACATCAGTTTTGTTTACAGCATGGTGATTAATTTAGGCTGATTCTGTGGTTTCATTCTTCCCTTTTTAGTGACATTTTGGCACAACTGAGTCAATTTGTGAGGCTGAAGGAAACAGTATAGATAATGAGGACAGATCACATAAAAATATTCGTATGATAAATTCACCAAAAGAACTTGCATATTGAGGGGGAAATCCCTTGACCTTTCCCTCCTAGAGTTTTAAAGAATGGGATGGCAAAGGAAATCGGAAAGAAAAAAAGCCCTCATGAGAATTAGAGGAGAATGTTCCACATTTTTATCCCGTGTTCTGCACATAATTTATTCCATGTTCTGTCTGTGGCAGGTTCCGGTTCAGCGGCCGTATCCTTGGCCTTGCTCTAATTCATCAGTATCTTCTGGATGCCTTCTTCACAAGGCCATTCTACAAGGCATTGTTAAGGCTGTGAGTATTCTCTACATTAAAAGGCAGGATTGATCCAAGATTGTATTATCTTCCTTTGGGGTGGATGGATGATGATGATTTAAGTCCCTTAGCTGCTTTTCTTAGCAAAATGCCTCAAGGCATCTTACAGCAAAAATGGAAACAATGGAAAAACTTGAACAATTTACCTAAACACAGTTAACCACATCTTGGTGAAACAGCTAAATTAAGAAGCTCACCAAAGCAGTCAGACGACTTGCAGTAGAGGAAAAACGTAACTTGGTGCTGCAAATTTGACACCATTGGTGCTAGGATAGTTTCACTGGAGAGAGCATGCTGCATTTGGATCATTTTTAAAATATCTGTTATGTACACTGTCTGATTACTTTGCATAATAAGATGCTATGCTGTACATAGGCTACCTAGTGCAATACATCTCATCCACTTCCCTTCATATGAAATATGGACTCTCCAATCTAGATGAAGTAGGCCTGAACAACTAAACTTTCTGCTAAAAAGTGAGCACTCCCCTACCTTGTGAGGGGTGGGGGGAAGTGGCTCTGCTGTAAGTAATTCAGCATTACTCACATTCCATTTGAATGCGTTTCAGCTGCATTTGTGCAAATAGGATAGTAGAGTTGGCAGGGTTCTACAAAGCCATTGAGTCCAACTCCCTGCTCAATGCAGGACTCCAGCTAAGGATGGCAGTCCAACTGCCTCTTGAATGCCCCAATGTGGGAGAATCTACAACCTCCCTAGGTGATTGGTTCCACTGCTGTACATTTACATAAATGTTTGTGTAAAACTGGCCGGTGACTAGCAGCACCCACAAAACAAGCAGTTGCACTTCGATAGTCTAAAGAAACAGGGCAATTAGCCATGAGCTAGCATAGTGGCCTCAGCGTGTGTACACACTGCCATATGTGTTTGTGGTACTCCATCTTCCAGGATGGAAGATGGTACTTCTAGGTGAGAAGCACCTAGTAGCCCTGGTGGATCTGACTGTAAGTCTACCTAGTCAAGCTGGCAGTTTCCAAGACTGGCTAACCAAATGCCAACAAGGCAACAAATTCTCTTCAACATCTGATACTTCATTAGCTGTCATAGATAGTAACATCAGTGGGCTTGTTCTCTAATCAGTTGTGCAAATGTTTACTTGTGCTGTACTTGGAATTGTGGTGCTTCAGGTTATTGCAATAAGCCATTCTAGAGGCCATTACTTGTGTTCTGTTGTACAATCAGGCCATGTGACCTTAGCGATTTGGAGTACCTGGATGAGGAGTTCCATCAAAGTTTACAGTGGATGAAGGACAACAACATTACTGATATCCTGGACCTCACTTTCACTGTGAATGAGGAAGTGTTTGGACAGGTAAGCAAATAATAACCTACCAGAGATGGTGAATTAAAGAGCTGAAACAGGCAAGTTTACATAGGAAGAAGACGATTGTCTGTACTAAATGTGCTGGTGGAGAGACCTGAAAGGTATAAGAAGGTAAGAAATGGCTGAAGTGGGAATAAAAGAGAAGTGAGGCAGATCAGTGACACTTCAGTAGAACTTGAGAGTATTTGTAATGTTAACAGGTATTGATCGTTTAATGATCTGTTTCTTTGCTAGGTAACAGAAAGGGAGTTGAAATCTGGGGGTGCAAATACCCAGGTGACTGAAAAGAATAAGAAGGAGTATATTGAAAGAATGGTCAAGTGGCGAGTGGAAAGAGGTGTTGTTCAGCAAACAGAGGCACTGGTCCGTGGCTTTTATGAAGTAAGTAGCGGGGTCAAATTGGCAGAGTCATGTGCACAATGGTAGCCATATAACAATAAATCAATAAACTGTACTTTCTGATTGGAGAAGTAAAATGGACTCATAGGGAAGACAAAGAAGAAATTTATTTTAATGTGAGCTTCCCCAATTTCCTAGTTTCAAACTAACACTTATTGTTTGAAATTTGCAGTTCTCCTAATTTCTAGTGGAATCAAGAATGCATACAAAAATGTCAATCAGGCAGAACAGGTGTACAGAACAATGTGCATATTTGTGAAAATAATGTTAAAATGCATTATGTTGAGAAAAATGCTTACATTGTGTGTATTAAGCCAATTTGTGCCCAAAATCACATGTACTGGGAGAAGTGTGCTATTAAAATGTATTTGGACTTTCATGATTATTTTAAACTCATGATTTGGGGTGAATTGATTGCAAAACAAGAAACTGAAGCAAACTGATACTAACAGATTTATCCAACACTTGTCACACAATCATGCTTACACATCTTGGAATCTTAATAGGGATCTACTAGTTGAACTTCTATGGTATTAGCTAACTCGTATTAGATATTGCCCTGTGACTCTTGATTAAATGGTTTTTGACCTTAACACTACTGAACCAAATAAATATTGTGTTTCTTTTTATGCCGACCAGGGGTGTAGCTTAAAAAAATAAACTGCATGGGCACAAGTGGTATACACAAAACAGCTTCACTACTACAAGAATTGTGAAAGACTCCAAAGGCATGTCTGTTCTTCTCAATTCTCTACTTTTACCCTTACTTTTACTCTATTTTATTAAAATACTTGAGGATTTGTTCCTACAAGGAATATAATACTCAAGCTGTTTATATCCAATGGCCCTTGCTTCCAGTGGTGGGGTTTGGTGGAGAGGGAACAAGTTAAGCAACAGATATTGTGAGATAACATTCTTTATCGTTAAGGTCATTTGCTAATACTGCTTTGAAAAAATAAAGTAACAGGAAATGTTCTGCTCAACAAAGTATCCCTTTTCTAGCTCAGGATAACCGTGACAAGAAGTACCCAGGAACCAGCAGCCCCTGATAGAAATGCATATTGCCTTAAACATTAACAGATGCTGACCACTCAGCAGTGCCCAGAAGGACACTGGCATGTGGGTGACATGCCAATGTACATCTTTGTTGCTATGTTGTGCATTGCTACTTCCTTAGTGATTCAGCTTATGCTTTTGTTTCCTTTGCTTCCTTTTGCATCTAGTTTTTACACTGGCCAGCACTGCTTATGGCAAAAAAAACCCCATCTTAAATTCAGTTTAGTCATAGCATACTAATATAGACATTTGTTGATTTGTTGTTAATGACAGGAAATGGGATACACTTAATTAACAGAATGATAATGTAATTGGAACAACTTCCCTCAACTCAGTTTGCTTGCATATGTATTTTATTAAGTGGCAATGTAATAGATGCCTGCGTGATGCCAAAGTCTACAATATTCTACCTGAGGAAAAGCTTACTTCAGATCCTTGATGCTCAGAATGCAGATTGGCAGTTTGTTGCCAAAGTGTCAACCCTGTGTAGAGAAATCTGAAGGTCTTCTTTTTCCTGGTTTGTCAAGTCTGTTTGGGATGTTTTACTGCTAGCTACAAAAACTGCAAAGATGTGCATTTGTTTTTCAGGTTGTAGATTCAAGGCTTGTCTCGGTTTTCGATGCTAGAGAGCTAGAATTGGTTATAGCTGGCACAGCTGAAATAGACCTTAATGACTGGCGCAACAACACAGAATATCGGGGTGGTAAACTATGCAGTTGTTTTTCCTTACATCTTCCATTTCATGATGTCTTTGCTTTCATTTTGTATCAGGAAAAGCTTCCTTACTGTCCAAGCAATATGACAGAGCCCACTGCCTAGAGAGGTTGTGGGCTCTCCCACACTAGAAATATTCAAAAAGAAACTGGACAGCATCTGAGTGGGATGTTGTAAATTGGTGTCCTGCACCAACAGGGGGTTGGACCAAATGGCCTTCATGGCCCCTTCCAACTCTACTATTCTATGATTTTCCTGCTGGAAATCCTCACTGATCTCTTTAAGAGAGGCTGCATACAAATAGTCTGTCCTATAAACTACAGCAGCCTTTCTCAGCATGATTCATCTTGAGTCATAACTTCCATCATCTGCAGCCAACATGGAGACTACAATATGGATGGCATGCGGTTGGGAAAGGGTGGACTATGAGTTGGGATTCCCTACCACCAGTACAAAATTATCCTATTAGGATTGCTTGCACTTGCCCTCCGGTGCACCCTCCTTGCACAATTTCTTAAAAGTGTAGGATATTATTTCACTGCACTCACAGATAGTTTTTTGTGGACTTGCAGCTATTACATGAATTGTTGCAATTCATGTACCAGTGCATGCATCTATTGCTTGTTCTTCCTATATGTAACTGAGGAGCTTAATGATGGGCATGCAACATATCCTACAGAGAAATTTTGACAGGGTTGCAGCATAGTTTGAACTAGTGCTGGGATGTAGAATAACTGAAGAAGAATAGATAACCTGGTCATTTCAGTATTTAAAAAAATCAGTATAAAAATACATTTCTAGTACTCCTTGTGGTTTTGGAAGCAAATCTTTTTCGGCTGAAGGAATCCAGTATTCCTTAGTGTAAGAGCATTAGGACTTAGCTGCATAGTTTGTCACACCAGCTTTTGCGTATCTGTGTTTCAAACTCTGCATTTCCAGGGAATGTATGGTTCCTGGGAAGCTTATCAATAGACAAGCTTCCCTGAAAGATGACTTGCCCACTTTTATTGATTTTTCTGTGAAATGTGCAGCATGGAAAAAGTTGAGCATGTTTCAGGGCACACTCCCAATTCATGCAGCATGGCAGCGAGCTCCAGAGGCTTGCAATGTACCCCACATGAAATTAGTAAGCACCCTAAGATCTATCTCAGACTCCTCTGTAATGTGGATGCCAATTAATGTGGAAAGTGTTCCCTAAAAGTAAAAAGTCTGAAAATCCCTTACTTTTACCTTTAGCTAGGCCTAGAACAAAAGAGAGAGCAAGAAAAGGCAGAGCATTATATTATTTTATTTCATCACCATGTTTGTGACTTCTGTTTCTATATTTCTAATGCATTTCTTATTTGCACACCTTCTGTTTTAGGTTACCACGATGGACATATTGTAATACGATGGTTCTGGGCAGCTGTAGAGAGGTTCAACAATGAGCAAAGGCTACGGTTGCTGCAGTTTGTCACTGGAACATCTAGTGTGCCATATGAGGGCTTTGCAGCCCTTCGAGGAAGCAATGGACTACGGCGCTTCTGTATAGAGAAGTGGGGTAAAATAACATCCCTTCCAAGGTATGCTTGTACTTTATTGAGTTCATTAGTACTATTGCTGGGATTCTCTTGATATTACTTCATTTCCATTTATAACATGGTAAAGGGACATGAAGGTTTATATGATACGCACAATATAAAAATAATTTAAAATCACTTCTTCATTTTCTATTATAATGCATCCACCTTAAAAACAAACTCAGGGAGTCCCTTACGAGAACAGTCATGCTGTGAAGAGTCCCAAGCAACATAGATATTTCTGATTCCTTCTCCTATGACCTCAGGAGAGGAAATCTGATATTAGGTCCCTTGCAGGAAGAACTCTACCAGCTGCTTTCTTAAGGTCACACAAGGGACCTCAAGTGACCTGGTAGAGGTTGAAAAGGAGGGCATTGTATTAGGCGAGGAAGAGAAGGAAAGATAGGAGGACAGGAGCACTAGACTCCTATGCCCTTTTCAACATCTGTATCTGTTGACTTGCCAGTAAGTGAACTAGATGAGCTCCTGCAGCTGCTTGTTTTGTTGAATTGGAAGAGAATCCAAGGTGAAAGCACCTCTGTACTTTTCCTGTTCCACTGGCAACAGCCCACTCGGGCATTGGGTTTTGGGAAGCTTCCAAACTCGGAGTCTTCCGTCTAAAAGACAGCAGTCACAGAGGATTGTGCCCTAAATCATAGCTGTGCTTAGAAAGGCCTCATCTAAATTTTAAGTTTTGGAGCTTTTGTAGATGCTGGGCCCATCAAAAATCTCTAACCACCAGGGACACCTGACAATGTGCTCTAGACTAGATGTCAGGATGCAGGCTTCTTAAAATAGGACTCCTTTAAACACCCTTCCTGCATTGCTGAAGGCATGGATGGAAAGAGATAAAAAGAAGAATGGACCATTTGTATTGCAGCCATAGACTTCACTTTGTAAACATTATATCCAGGTCAAAATAATTGGAAGTGACTTTTCTCCTTAGTGGTGTCTGTGACTCACACGTATGAGCTTTGCACCTGCACAGAGCCTAGTGTTGGGAAGATTTCACAGCTGAGAGAGATTTGGCAGAAACCCCTCCCCCACTCTTGGTGTTTGGTTTATTAGTAGTAGTAGTAACAGTAACAATAACAGTAACAAGAATTTCTATACCACCCAATAGCCAAACTAATAGCCAGTTTAACCAGCATGCATATCAAGGAATTCAAGGTCAGTGTTTGTAATTCTAACCTAAAGGTTGTTGCACGGGTGAAAGGAATGAGGCCTAGATAGCACTCTCAGCCAGATGAATAGATCTATGAAAGCTGAATAAACTCAGGCCTACTCAAGTCTTTTCCTTTTCTTACAAGCTAGAGTGCTTTCAGGTAAATGCTTAAAAGTACCATGTGTTACTATTTGTAAGATAGCTGTCCTTGGTATTCCATCTTTTCTTTTACCATTGTGATGTGGCAGAAGAAAAACTTGTAGCATGCTGGTCACATTTCATTAGATTCATGGCACCATTATGTAAGTTGTTTTGAAAAGATGCAGAATAGCTAGGAGAACAGAGAAGCCCTAAGATATTTTGGTCTTGGTTAAAAAAAAAAACCTATAAAAACAGGATGTGTGTCTGCTTATTTCTCACCAATGTAGTTCCAAATTGATGAAACCTAGACATTTGAAACTTGATATCCATATTAAGGGGACTTTGGAGTTATAAAAATATCCATTCATTTTGATATATTCATGTGACTGAAGCCTGAAATAACTTCTTCAACCATTAGGAGCAAAATTCCCTGCTAGCACATAGCTCATACAGTTTGGGGCCAGAAGAAATTAGTGGACCTCTCCCCCTTGCTGTGGGGCAACCCCCTCTCAAGGGAATGAGTGGGCAAACCTCTCCCTTATGAGACTGTGGAGTGCACCTGGTTGAGGTGCCTCTGGGTGTGGCCTCACTCAGGGCAGGTACAAGGTATCTAAGTCTCTGGTATCTGTGCAGGTTTGGTTGCAGGTTTTGCAAAGACTATTTCTCAGGCTGAGGGCCAGAGTTCTCTGCTTACTCCCTCCTCCTGCTTGGGGCAGACCCTTTTCAGAGGTATGGGCTGCAAAGGCCTCTTCCACAAGGTGCTGTAGGGATACATTATGGCAGGAACCACAGCTAGCGGTGCCAACAGACAGGCAGCAAACTCTGACAGCTGCATAAGTTTGCTTGCAGCCTTTGTCATATCAATGTAAGGTTATTCCCACTAGCATGAAGCCAGGTTTGTTCACTAGTATTAAGCCAGCTAAAAGTCCCCCCGCCCCCCGAACATGTGTGCTAGTTGTGTCTGACTCTAGGGGTGGTACTCATCTAAGCTGAACAGTCAGCATTGTCCGGCAATGCTTCCGTGGCCATGTGGCCAGCATGACTAGACACTTTCACACACAGAATGTTGTTACCTTCTCAGCAAAGTGGTACCTATTTATCTACTTGTATTTGCATGCTTTGGAACTGCTAGATTGGAAGAAGCTGGGGCAGGTAACAGTAGATCACTAGGGATTGTTCTGCAGCACTATGGATTTGAGCTGCAACCACCCGGTCCACAAGGTCAGCATCTTACCCACTGACCCATTGTACCCCTTCACTAGAATTACAATCAGCTAAATAATCTGAAGTTTGCTGTCCTTGAATGGCCCAAAGAACTTGCCCCTCCTAACAGGCTGCCCCTTTCTTTATAATGGTGAGGCTGTCCCAGAAAGGAAGGATTTGCCCAGCACACCCACTTGTGGCAAGCAGGCTTTTGCCCTTTCATGCCACCCATTCAGCTACAACCATTATGATTCACAACATACACTTTCATCCTGTAATTAAAGGAAATGGCCCAGCTAGACTTCATACCAGCATTAACTCAGCCTGGGGTGACATTCACTATAATTAGTTGACATGTTTGGAGAAGAGTTTTACCCATTTTCATCTCTGGGCCAGTTTCAGAGGGCTGGGTATTTGCCAGGGCTCCAGAACCAGCAGTGGACTAACTGCCCCAAATGGCCTGCCATGCTCTCTCCAGTCCCACAATGCATCCAAGAAAGTTGGAGACACTGTGAGAAAGTTCTCAATTCCTCCCATATTTTAGGGGACCTGTTGAAGGTGTCCTGTACAAGAACCCTTAAATGTTGAAGTCAACTGTGGTTGCCTTTCAGGAAACTCCAGATGCAGGTCATGGTTATTGCTCAGCTACAATTGGCAGCACGCCTGTAGCTTCCTTTGGAAGGAAGGGTGCCCTGGCAAATATGAAATCAGCCCAAATCCATGGGCAAGACTGGTTCAAACTTTTCAGGAATGAAGCCTCTGAATCTGCCATAGCCCAATCTGAGTTCCATTTGACACTACAGTGCCAACACTCCCACCCCACTCCCCACCAAAACAAACTTTTAGAGTAGTTCGCACACTTTTCACAAAATGGACTGAACTACAGATTGCATGGAATTCTTGTAGAAAGTACTGTAATTAACTTTTCTGGGTACAAATAGAACAACAAGTTTTAGAATTTTAAAGAGATGCCTCAGGCTTTTGGCCTGTTGAGTACTAAGAAGATAATTGGCCACTTTCTGTTTGCCTTTATTGTTCTTCTAGACAAGATTTATGACCTATGTTCAGTTAGTCTGAAGATATTAATGTTTTTGAGCTTACATTCATCTGTGAAATGCATGCTCAAAGAGGCTGTCTCTTTTAGATGGTTTAGCTACAAAAGCCGTTTTTATTTTCTTGTTCCTGAGTTACAAGCATACTGTTGTGAGTTTCTTGTCTGATTATTTCAACTGGACATAACACTATGGTTTTGCCTAGAGATGCTGATGGAATTTGCTGAACTCAGGCCCAGATAAGAGTTTTGGGAGCTTGTAACACTTGCCTGAAAAGAGATGAGAGTTAACCCATCCTCAGGTTCTTATTTAGCTCAGATTAGAATCCAAACTGGAGAAGAATGTCTTTTTTATCCTCTCCATTTTGCCATCCCCAAGCAATCCTGCCTTCTTCTCTTAAAACCCACTTACATAGCTGGCTTAGTTGGTGGTAGCAAGCAGTCATGGGGATGTGGGGTGGAAAGTTAACAGGATGCATTCCCTGGAAGTACTGCTAACAGGGACTCCCTGATTCCCCATTGAAAATTCTTGACACAATTAGGACTCGCTTGGATCGCAGATGGGGAGGGAAAGAGGGAGTTGGCAGTTTTACAGCTCAGAGGCAGAAAGGAACAGAGGGAGCTGCAGGTCATCTAAAGATGGAGTTCTCTGAGGTGTAGGATCTCTCTGTAGGGATCAAATAGATTAGTGGTTCTACAGCTGGTCTGGTGAGAGTGCCTGTTTGCCTCCACTTATGTTTTACTCATATAAATAAAAGCAAATATAGGACACAACACAATGCTTTTTTATGCAAAGGAAACTAAACCTGGTAGAAACTAAACCTGGTAGCAGTGAGCCTGAAACATCTCACCACTTTGGGAAGTGGGTGTCTGCAGCAATATCACTGGGATTCTTGAATTAGAAAGCACTTGTTCTAGCACTTGATCTTCAGGGTCAAATGCAGGTTTTCCAGCTTTCTGACAGACAAAGGCAGTGAGGCTAAATGCAGCTGGGCAGAGGAGGGTGCTTAAACTTTGCCCCACCTGGCACTTTCCCTCTATAGTCCTTTCCACAATTACTCTCTGTCAGCCAGAATTTTGAGATGGGCTGGGGTGTTGTGAAGCCAGGGTTCAAAGGGGGCAGCGCCAACACTACTTGATCAACAGGGATGGTGATGACACTAGTCCCTGCCTTCTGCCTTCAGAATTTCTGGCCCCTCTGAGCTTATCTGCAATGTTCACAGTGGCCTGCAGGGTGAGGGGGTAATGCATTTTCTCAAGAGCAATATAATGGCTCGCTGTTCCTGGTGTGGTGCAAGGTATTTTCAATTAACTTAAGTTCTGTTACCTTTAAAAAAAGCAAAAGATGGAAATCACTTGAACTGGATTGTTGATATGGATCAACAGTGCTGCCTGAATTTTTGGAATCTCCTTGGCTATGGGAATTGACATAATGAGTAGCTATAAATCAACATTTACGATCATACCGCCAGAAATATAATTGTTGATCAAATGGGAGGATGTGTCTAAAGGGAAAGACTGAAAGGGCAAACAGTGATCTGGGAAAGGGTTAATCTCCCATTCATACTTCTTCCCTGCAAATCCTTTCCTTGTCCTACCATTACTTTAAGTAGTGGATGGCAAACATAACTTTGGAAAATCAGTATTTGCTTGCAGACGTGTAGTTTTCAGTGTTGCTGTTTGGAAGCTCAGCAGTACAATTTATACAAGTGGATATGTATTTCTGAGAAAGTTGCAAATATGTTAGACACCCACATTTTTTTTCTGTTGCAGGGCGCACACATGTTTCAATCGCCTGGATCTTCCACCTTACCCTTCATATTCTATGTTGTATGAAAAGCTGTTGACAGCTGTTGAAGAAACAAGCACCTTTGGACTTGAATGAGAGCATTCAGACTTTTCAAGTATTTTTCTGGTCAGTGACATCACTCCCTTCCCTGCCACCACATGATTTTGGTTTTCTGTGTTTTTATTTCTTGTGGGGGAAATCAGGACTGACAAAAGCTGTGCATGAAGAACAGCCTTCCTTTAAGAACTAACCTTCTTCATACTTCATCTTTGGTTTCCAGTGGACAACTAGCTTGTATGCAATATAAACAACAACAACGAAGTCTCAAGGTCTCTGTGTATCTCTACATACCTCCCATTCGTAACAATGAAAATATGAATGCAAGTTACGCTACACTTGACCAAATGTTTAATGTTTACTTCCATCTACGTTGATTAAAAAAACACAAACCCATCAAGCATTCCAAGCTTTTATATGCCCGTCTCTTCTGGATTACACCCACAGTTCATCTTGCGACTTAACAGCCGTATCCACTAACGGGAGCTGGTCAAGAATCTTTTTCATTCATCCTTGACTTTTGAGTACATATCACATGCAGGTGAGAGGCACCTGTGAGCAAAACTTTTTTTTTATATGCGAACTCATAATCCAAATCAGCTACATCAGCTGGAGCTGGGCCAGATATATGCTGCAGATAAGACATTCTAAACAAAACAAACCTGTAATGCAATGCAGAGTGTATAAGTGATAGTTAACAATTGTTAATTGCTAGTGCTGGGAAGAACTTGTACTTCAGAGCTACTGAAGCATGGATGGGAGGTAATTTTTATTTTAATAAGAACACACAAAAAGTGAACATTTGTGCACTTGCGAAGGATGTCTTATGTAGCATAACAGACAATAACACCTTAACCAATTACTGTACATAGCAAAAATAACAAGAAGAATACTCTGTTTCTTCTTAGTATCTTCTGGTCTTGCTTACCAATTGGTTTTTTTGTTTTTTTTGTTTTTGATGTTTAAACACTTCCTTACAGAAAAGAAATGTCGACAATCCTGCATCGTGTTCTGGAAGCCATTAATTATTCATGATATATCAAATTGTGGCTTTGTTTCATTCCTCTTTTGATCTGAAATACTCCATTTCAGGATTGGTTCTACATGAAAGGGTTTAGCCAAAATACAATTATGTGTGAAGCTGCAGAGAATGATGGTGCTGAGATAGTGTGCATGAATGAGTGTTATATGCATAGCTTTTTAGTTAAGCGTTTGAACAAGTTCCTAAAGCCCCATTGGTCCACTTAGCAAATTAGTTATTAGTGAACTAAAGAATCTGGTCTCTTTTGTAAGCAGGTAAAACAGTGAATGGTTTGGCACCGTGGGCTTCACTGTCCACTACCAACATCAGGACACCAAAGCACACTGGAACATGCATGCTTTGATGGGTACTGCTGAAACTAACTGGGATGGGGATGGAATCAAATTTATAATGCTGCTTCTTTTCTTCTGCCCTGATTTCCCATGCCTAATCTAAGACTAAGGCTGCTAATCCTACATGCACTTATGTGGAAGCAAAGCTCTTGGAACTTGAGTGAGTTTTATTTCCAAGTAAGGATCCATAAGCTTACATCTGTATTTTGCCTTCACCAGGATTAGTTCTTATTTCTACATGTATATCTTTGAAAAGTCAAATTGATTACAAGTAATGTCTGTGATCTAATTAGCATCACTGCAGCAAAGACTGTTAGACAGGTGATTGACAGGAGTCAATTAAGCATCCAGTTTGACAAAGGACTTGTTCTTTGTACCTGGGCTGGGATCAGGAGTTTGCCCTTGTGATTGATCTGTCTCTCCTTTTTTCTTCCCACCACAAGGAGAGACATTATCAAACACTGGTACTCACTCTCCTTAGTGTTAAGTGTAAGGAGCATCAAGGATACTTGGGCTCGTGGTCCCAGATTCTGCTTTGTGCCTGCTTCCTGGGTATGGTACTCAGGTCAAGAAACTGATGAAAAGTTCCAAGGTCTATTAAATCTAACTCCACAGTAGTTACACTTGAGGGAGGGTATTACAAATAAATGTACGGGCAGGAAGGATTTTCAAGATGGGCCCTGGAAAAAAGGCGTACATTTAAAAATGTAAAAGCACAATGCAAATAATGTTAAAAATGTTTAACTTTCATATTTCAGTTCTAGATTTTTGGGCAGTTGTTTTACTTTCCCTTTCAAACAACTGAGATCTCAAAGTCCTTTTGTGGCTGTGACTCTGTACTTTTAAGTTCATTTGGGGAAACTTCACAATTTTTGAAGAAGAAAGATGGACAAAAGGCTGCATGATTCCTGAAAACATAAAGTAGACATATGAAGTGCATTTGGGTCTGAGCTAGAGAATAGGTGATCTAGGCAAATGCCTTTTATTCCAGCTGATATAAAAACCAGCCTTAACTAATCTGTTTTTGTTTAATGCGCTTTCAAATCCAGAAGAACAGTGTCTCTTAAAGGTGTGTCCAGCCATCACTATCATCATTATATCTGTATTTCTGTAAGAATAACAAGGCAAATTCAATAAATTTTTTTAAAAGGAATATTTCAGGCAAGCTGGTTGAATGAAAATAAAGTTTCTCACTACAATGAAATTTTAGCTTAAAATCACATTAGATAATCACATTATATGAAATAAACCACTCTAGCCTTTTAGAGTGAGATGCCAAATTCAATTAAATCAATTAAGCTGTCATCAGTTGAAAAACCAGCATAATTTTTTAATGTCCATATCAACTGTATTTAATTGACTTTTTTAGGCACAGACACCATTTAGCATGCATTATAATTGCTACAGAAAGCCTCCTGATGGCTGTTTGAGTAGATTCAAACACATTGGGCATGCGGCTTCTTTGCTTCAGTGGAACTTCTCTGCAAATCTCATTGAAACAAGTGGAAGAAGTAGATTATTAGGGTTTACTGGACCACACAACATATCTCCTGGTGGAACCCCCAAAAGATTGGCCTAAAAGGAATTGTCCAGTATATATTATTTGCAGTCATTTGTGCACAGAGTCCTATGGCACAAGATTGCATCTTGGCATAAGTTCATGTGTGTAAGATTGCAGCCAGTGTTACTACAAGATCATGTGCATGGTATTAAAGCTGGGGTGTCATCTTAAAAAAAATGGAATGCAAGTGAACTAAGAAAGGCACAACTTAACTGGTTAGTTCCAGGTGGGCCAAATATAACAGCATACACAAAATCCATTCTTTATAATGCTGTATAGTTAGGATTTTTAATGACTTTAAGAGCTATATTTTATTAAAAATATACTATTTTTTCTAGTGTGGTGAAAGATTTGTATATGCAGTGAAAGCATCTAAAATGAGAGAGAGAGAGAGAGACATGCCCCTAAATTCCACTATATAGTTATATTCTGATGCCAGCCATATTCTGGGAAATGGCATAGGTAGCATCAATCTGGCCCTCAGAATCTTGTCTGTTCCTAAGACAACAGATTAGTTTTTATTCTTTACAATTCAGACAAAAATATGTTCTGAATATTCCAGACTGGAAGCTGTTTTCTCATACCATTTCTTTTTGATGACATCCAAACAAAATCATCTAACAAACCCATTTTTCATCCTTTCTGCATCATTGACTTCAGTAGACTGATCACAGTATTATAAATTAATTATTTGTCCGATTTATTATCATCTATTTCTTTTTGAGTATTCATATAGATTGTTACATTGGTACTGTGTTGGGCAGGCTTTGATATGCAAAAGAATAAAAGGTAGAGGGCAAAACTTTGGAATGAAACTCGTGGAGGAAAATAATTTTAGAAATGTAAGAAGAGGTAGTCTTTGAGACACTGATTTCTGCAGGTGGTGGGCTCTCCATTGCCAAAAGTGTTCAAGCAGGGACTGGACATCCATCTGTCAGGGATGCTTCAGACTGGATTTCTGCACTAAGCAGGAAGTTGGACTTGATGGCCTAATCAGCCCCTTTCAGCTCTGTAATTCTGTATTTACGTACCAAGAAAGCTTCTTTTTGTCACAATCTGAGGAGATTTCATTGGAAATTATGGGACCCTTTCACACACATAGCAACATGGATGCTGTTCCCTTGTGATGTTGTCCCATGCTGCTTGGTAATGTGCATGAATGAAGGAACCATGTGGTCCAGTGAATCTCGCTGGTCTTTCCTACCAAATTGTTGCCCTGCTCTCCAGATGGGCAGTTTGGGGAAGTGCCTTCCCGACTAGAGAGGACATGTAAATGGAGACAAACGGGGGAAATCATGCACCTTGTTAGGAGGTTATTCAGTAGACTATTTTGTCAAAGCCTTTCTAAGTTTAGAAACCAATGTGAGGGTAAATCACACAACCAGGTTCTGCTTTCTTCCAGACTCAAACCCTGGTGATCTCTTTCCATCTTTTGCAAACACTACGTTCATTGCCTCATATTACTACTTACATTCATTTAGGCTATAATCTAACTGATAAACCTTTTTATTCTGTTTGGCAGTTATGAAGTTTTGCTTTCATGTGATTGATCTACAAATGTGTATTTTATCCAATTTTGTATGACACAGTCATACATTTTGCAGTATTTCATCTGACAAAACCTCATTATTCACATTTTATTCAAGTGCCAATGAATATTTACTAATCAGGACCAAATTTGGAGTTCTTAACCAGGTTGATTGCTTTCTTTTCTGCAGGTCTCATCACAACAAAAGTTTAGCATTGCTCCAGTGTGAGACTAGTTGCTTAATCTTAATCCTAAGTATATTAGTTTGTACATGCAATTTATGTTAGATCATAGTCCACAGTTATGGACATAAGCACACATATTTGCCAATAAATTCTATTGAAATCAAATATATTTCTTCCCACCTTTACTTGTGTTTGGTAATCTTAGAAGGTAACTCAGTTTCAGTGAATGGAGTTTATGGATGACAAATATGGCTTCAGATTTTTTTTAAAGTGAAGTATTTCTGCCCTGAATTAAACACAAGGTGTGTTGAAGTCAATGGGAGTACTGCCATTAACTTTAACCATGATGGAATGTCTCAGGAAGGAAATCCCGGAAAGGATCCAACATGTAGTCAAACACATTCAACAAACCTTTCTACTTTAAAGACGGTGCTTTTTACAATTACTGCTCTTCCTGTACCTCAGTGTTTTAAAAATTGACTGCAATATATCACAAAATCTGGGATAGTTTTCCAAGGTCCAAAAAGGTTGTATTGTTACTTTTTCCCTAGTATGTCGTAGTTCCTTTGATCTAGTCAACTGATGCCTGTAGAGAGTAGATACTAGGTAGAATCAGTATTGAAACTTTAGCTGAATTCCCTGCAGCTTCCAATTTATCTAAAACCAAGTGTCTATTATGGTTTCATACAAGTCAATGGCAGGAAAGGTCCTCATTATTGGGCTGATTTTGCTTATATTGACAGAAAAATGTCACATGATACTCAGGCTGCGCTTTCTATTCAATCATATCACTGTAAAGGAATGTCAATAAAATCTCTTTGTTATGGCATCTATTGTGTGGTTATTAATTATTTCTTTCCTGTAGCTTGCTTTGTTCTATACCCTCCAACTGGATCAGTTTTTCTTACTTTTGCATACCAATTCCTGTGTGTGAACCATGTTTTTCCATTATTGGAGCACATCCTCCAGGTGCCACTAACATGGCAGAACTAGATAGCATTTGATAAGGCTCTGTAAGTGATGGCAACTAATATGTTAGGGATTAACTAGTCAGGCCTGTAACAGGCTAATTTTAAAGATACCAAATTATTTGTGTGACTGCTTCACAAGTAAAAGTGTGGGATTCATTTTTAAGTACAGCAATGGATGGGCTGTATCTCAGTATATCTGACAAGCAATCCTAGAAATGTATGTACACAGAAAGAGGATCCAAAAGGTGATACTCATCGAGAGGACCAATTAATTGCAATGGTTATGTAGTACAAAACTTTGACCCAAATCCAATATGAGTTACCAGACAAAAAACTATACACATGCACAGAACCCCATTCAGACAATTTTCAGTGCTACCAATTTGGTGCTCAGGAATTACTCATGTTTTATATTTATGAATCCCTTACATTAAGGAAATGTCTAAGCAGTGTACAAAGAACAAATGAGAGAAAGGAGGACAGGACAGGGAAGTGTTACGGTTAAGTTACAGTTAAGCTGATTTTGGTCATGTTCAGTATTTATTTAGGAGGTTTATATTCTACTTTTATACTGAAACTGAGTAGATTTCCACATGTCTCCTATCCAGTTATTATCCAGACCCACAGCTTCAGTAGGTGGCTGCACTGTGTGCCATCAACAATGAGCTTTTACTAGCGAATATCTATTTTTCAAGCATTTGTTGCGGTTACTTTGGATACCTCACAATCATGAAATATTTGCATGGCATGGAAAGTTGGAGCGCTATCTGCAATTTAAGTACCTTACAACAGAGTAGCTTAATTTAATTAAGTACCTTACAACAGAGGTTCCATTTAAAGAAAAAGCCAGGAGTAGCCATGTTGATCATTAAAAAATTCTGAACTCAATAATGGAGTACGTAATTCCTGAAATTAGCCAACCTAAAGGTCACCAAAAATAAGCAGTCTTTTGGAATCTCAAACCTCTACATCAGCCAAGATGCTACAAAAGGGTGTAGCACAGATTGGGGGGGGGGGACCCAGTAATTTGATGGTAGAGCCATGATCAGATTCCCAAGATGTGGGAGGAGGAGTTTGCAGACATCATCATAATTATTAATTACATTTATAGCCAGCTCCTCCTCTAGAGCAGCCCAAGGCAGTTTGCATAGGGTTTTTATCCTCTTAGTAACAGCAAGCCGAGAGTCTGAAAGGCCTAAAGTCACCCAATGAGCTTCATAGTCCCCAGTCCAACACACCACCACACACACTGACATTCAGATTATGACCATGTGCTATTGACCGGTGGTGCTTGGGACTGCCCTAGGATTGCTGGAATCAAGAAAGGTAACAACATTTGATCCCCTATTTTTGAAGCTATGATATCCAGGAATTACTCAGTAGTGTCTGCATGCAGGCCTCATTATCAGTGGAATGCAGACAGAAGCAATGCAGTCTTTATAAACAAAGTTGGAAATCACTTTAGATGTATCGACAGAAACCAAATTGTGTAGCTTTCACTAGAAGTTGGAGGGAATGAACCCTCAAAGCTGAAAATCCCAGTTTGGAGTAATACACTGCGTTTCCTTCCCACCACACATTTTATCTGATGAAAAGTTCTGGAGATTTCAAGCGCTTCCTCCTTTTTTGGTGATTTTTTTGTTTGCCTTGTAACTAATATGGACTTTGGAAATATTCTTTTAAAATCCCTTGCAGGTACCATTGGTTTTCATCATTTAGAATTGCCCCATGTCTTGACCAAACCACAGGAAAAAAAGTTCACTGTACCATGTAGCAACTTGATTTGTGTAGGCAAGAAAAACTGGTGCAAGAATAACCACAACTAGGCCACAGAAGGCTGACAATGATGCAGCTCCAAGTTAGACAGGTTCTCAACGAAGAAAGACTAAAGAAGAGTTTAAAGAAAGAGTTTAAAATGTTGCTACTAGGGCCCTGTGTGGCCAACCAGAATCCTGCACCTCCAGCTGAGTCAACATTTTTTCTTTTCTGGCATACAGACAAGCTGCAAGCTTTGAGGGAGCTCCAGCATGTTATAAGCCAAGACATCTGAATTGCTACAAGGTGCCCATCCTGATCTGGGTCATAGGCAAGTCAGATTTTCATCCCAGACTAGTTCACATGTGCTGCAAGTAAGTGCTGCTGGCGGTGCCATTTGTGACATGAATACTGAATTTGTCTGGGAGCATATGGGACCAGACTAGTAAGCCTATTTTCTTCTCACAACCACTCTTTCAGGTAGAGGGGAAGTCACACAATAAATTTCACAGCTGAATCCAGGTCTCTGTAGATCGTATTCCATGCTGACCACCACACCAAAAATCTGAACATTGCTTTGCATTTTTTAAAAGTTGCAATGACTTGCCACTGCAAATAGTATGCTACAAACGGGACCCGAAGCAAAATGTTGCACAGCGCTCCTGTTCCAAGTTTCCAGCCATCCATGTCCCCTTCCACTTCCTTTCTGAACAGTGCCCAGTGGGCTGATTTAGAGCTGTCATCTCCCGCTTGGTGTGGAGCGGGCCGAGAAGGGTGACGGCGCGCGAGCTCGGTCAAGCCGGCAGGTGGCGCTGATGAACCGTCGACCCAAAGCTGTTCTCTATCCGCTCCCCCCCCCCGCCCCGCCTCTTCTTTTTCGCAGGTAAGGCGGTTAGGTTATGACGGGACGAGGATGTGGTTGGGAGGGGTTGGGCGGAGAGGCGGGGCTTTCGCTCGCTTCTCTCCAGCTGCCAGTCAGACGGAGCGCGTGCAGCGGCGGATCTTTCCACGGCGCAGCCGCCCTCCGTGCCCGGCAGCTGCTGGTTCGAGTTCGAGCGGGACGCCGCGGCTCTCTTCCCGCAGCAGTTGGGTGGTGAGTGAGGTGAGGGAGAGAGAGAGAGAGAGAGAGAAAGAAGGGGCGTTGGTCAGGACGCAGCTCTTCTCCGACTTTCGCTCGCCATGAGTCCCGAGGAGAAGCCGCCGCCGCCCCCACCGACCCGCTCCCGCGGGAGCCGCGCCCCCCACCAGCAGCGGCGCCGAGGACTTTTGACGGAGATTCGCACCCCCATCCTCACCGAGCCCTTCCAGGAGCGCTACAGCCTCAGCCCCGGCCGCGAGCTTGGCAGGTGAGTGAGGCGTGCCGGAGCTTCCCGACGACCGTTTTTCCACGCGCCCGTGTCTGTTCTGGCGGCTGGAGGGGCTGGGGAAGCGTGTCGACCACTAATGGCGCCCTCAAACGAGTGATGGAAACTTCAGATTTAGCTAAAGGTCACGTCTTTTTCGGCTGTGTCGTTTCGGAGAAGCCAGGAAGGGGAGGGGAGGGGTAATGCACGGGAGGCGACGGCGCGAAGGAGTCGTGGGAAGCTTGTCTCGTCTCAAGGGCCGGTGGGGGGGAGGGAGTCCTAAACTGACCCGCCTCACGCAGCCCCGGTTGCTGTCCCGCCGTCCGTAAGGTTGGCGAAGTCTGCAACGTCAACAGCCTTGTCTCTCCTAACATCCATCCTAGCAACCCCTGGGCTACTGGTTTGAAGTTTGCACGAAGATTTCGTTTCGTTCGTGAAGTGATTCGTGAGCTGAAGGAGCTGTCTGCTCACGGCCCTTTCTTTGCTCGCTCTCTCCCCCTTCTGGAAGGGTGCAAGGAAATGCCTGCCATGGGGTGGGGGGTGCCCTGCGGTGTGCAGTGTTTCTTCATAAAACAGACAGATTGCGCTTGTTTGCTTCGCTTGCCCAACCCCGTCATTTTTCCCTTTACTCCAGTATTGTCGGGACCTGTGACACTTGGCTTTTTCTTTGTATAAGTTGTCAGCGATCCACTTACCTGGGAGAAGGGAAAAGGACGCATTTGGGCTCTACTTGAACTAAGGGACTGACCCTGACTCGTGTGGCTGCAGTGGCCCCAGCCATTGAATATCATATCTGCCCTTACTCCTACAGCCTTACTAATTATGCTGCAGTGTGCAAGAACATTGTAACTTGCTCATTTCACATCTTGAATAGGAAGAATGTAATTTGTCTGTGGTATAGCTTTGAACATCAGTAGTGCCTTAAGAGTTAAGATAGGTTTACCAAAAATGGGTATTTTATTTATCCTTTAAATTATAGGAAAAGCATGAAATAGTACACAGAGGTACTTGAAATTGTTTCGTCGAGTTAGGATCAAAATGTAAAGATTCTATTTATGTCACAACTTTTGACAGACACCTTTAGGTTCCTCCATAAATACCCAAATAGGTATATACTGAGATAAATACAAATATGTATGACTGTGCATGTATACATGTTTGTGTGCGTATGTGATCTGTCAAATTTGTGTATGAGCTGAGCCAGAAAATAATACTCTTTTAGGAGAATCTCAGTGGTAGTGACTGTGTCTAAATTCAGAATTCATGAGGTATCTTGGTAGGCCAAAATTCATGAGGTACATCAGAATATCACCTGTTCCATGTAATATAACATTTGCTCACTATTAAGTGTCCTATGACCATTAAGGGACTAAGAAAATTTTATCTCTGAGTATGATCTGTATATAAAAGCAATTGTGTTTAAGCATAGAAATATAGTGACAACATTCCCTCTCTGTTTGAATTTTGATAGAAGTGGCATTTATAAAATAATGTCAGGGACTTTCTCATTTGCTTTTAAATAGCTAGGACTGAGGGCATACAGATGTTATATTTTGACTTTGTTCGAGTCTTGGCTGATTGCCATTAATGTTTATGGACCTAGGACTGCTGTAAAGATAGGGATGAGCTTGGGAGCATTTAGTCTGAGTCAGAAAGCATAAGCAAGCCCAGTATGCTATTCTAAAATTTATTTGTAAGGATCAAAGTTTTGACTTTGGACTCTTGTAAAGACCAGTGTGACTGAAGTATGCTCAACCTTGAAGAATCTTTTTTATTTTGAATGGCAACTTCAGTGTATCATCCTTGTTTAATAAGGATGAGTTGTAAGTTGTTCCAATATGAAGGCTTAGGTTATTTGTACTGCAGGCATTGTTTTCTTCTTGCAGTTCTTGCTGGGTTTTTAAAAATAAAAATATGCACTGTTTATATATTGTATGCTATTCTGATATATTTTATCATCATACTTCATATGCTATATTGCAGTGGATGATATACAGATTTTCTAAAATCTGAAAATAGATTTTAGACAGATTTTAGACACAATGAAATATGTAAAAATTAGAAAAAATATTTATTTAAAACTTTTTATATGCTGTCCCATATGCAATGCATCTCGGGATGGCTCACAACGAATTGAAAAATAAAATATTTATCTGTATCATAGTAATATACCAGGAATAAAACAGGCTTTAAAAAAAATAAATACTTGCACCCTTTACTGTTGATCGCCTGATTTATTAGTGCTGGTCAATTTTAAATGGTTGGGGCACAATCCTGCTGAGGTTAGAAATGAAGATTTCAATGAGAAAGTTAAGTATGTGCATGCTTACCCTCAGGATAGATAGAGATTGTGGTCTGCTGATTAAAACATCTTGTTCTATTAATCTGTGTTTTGCATCATTTTGAGGTTATTTTATTACATTTAACATCCAAATCCTTTTGCAAGGAACTTGGGGTAGCTTATATAAACTCCTCTCCTGTTTATCCTCACAACAGCCCTGTGCAGTAGTTAGACTGAGAGACAGTGACAGGTCCTAAGACATTCATGGTTGAATGGGAACCAGAACCCAGATCTTGAGTCCCAGTCCAGCACTCTTAACAACTACACCATAGTGGCCCTGTCACAGATCAGTCAGAAAGCTTATCCTGCTGATGTGAAATTTTTTACAGGATTGTAGCCCAAGTATTTTTGCCAATTGAAGCTTGGTTGAGAATTTCTGAATGTGCAGATGAGTGGCAAAGAAAAAAATTTGTAACTTTTCTGGTGGCTCTGCCCCTATGCAGGGTCATCAAATTTTATCTCAGCAAGTCTTGTTGATAATGAAATTAAGTGCAAAGTAAGTACAGCCTCAGAACCTTTAAAATTAAATGAAAGGTGCTTTAATCAAATGTACATGTGTATTGCATTCTGTTCTCCTAAACATCTTTCTGTGGTTCAAAAGCTTGCATGCATTTTTCCAAAGACAGTCCAATGAAATGATTGTTTTCTAGAGTATATTGGTTTTTGGAATCAATAATGCTACAAATGATATACACACATTTATGTTTAGTGGCCTGAAGTATGCAAACTATAATTTCTTAATGCCTGAAAATATGTAAGGCCTAATCTGTATGTTTCTTTCAAAGAGTCATTTGAGGCATATAAAATGAAGGCTATGTTAACTGGCCAGGTGCAGCAAGTCAGATTCAGATGTGCACGTTTTTCATAGGTAGCTGCCTGTTGTAAGAAATGACATGGAACAGTTCTTCCCCATGGCATGGAAATGAGCAGAGGCAAAACGAAGACTTTCCTGTGTACCATCCCAAAGGAGCTATGTTGACACAAATCTACATACACAATATATTGTTCTATCATTAGGATCAGACCGTTGGCTTGTTAGTGATGGAAGGGTAATAGTTAATGAAACAAACATAATTGGACAGAATGTTTACTGTAAGGATGGGGAGCTAGCAACCTCCACACTATATATGACACAGGAAATGTTTGCATTTGACCTACAACCTTCCCCTCTTCCTTGTGAAGCAAATAAGATACACCTCAGTATTCTCTTTTTCTCAGGCTTGTGACTATGCCCATGGAACATAGAGAATAAGAGAATAAGAGAAAAGAGTAGGTGTTTTGCGAACAAGGATACTGGGGGCAAGTAGGTGCACATGGGAGCTTGGAGACTTGATCAGTGTGGCTAGAGTGACATAGAAAGACATGTCTGACTACCATTCTCTGCAATCAGCTCACAGCTCATTCCAAGCTGGAATGTGGTCCTGCCTGGTTCCTGCTTGCACACATGCACACTCCCTCTCTCTCTCTCCCCCTGCCCGCCCCCCACTCTTTGTGGTGATAATCACATTCTGTTTCTCTCTTATTATTTAAATTGTATCTTCCTAAGAGAGGGCAAGTGAGTGTGTTTATAGATGGGGGGGTGTGTCTGAGAGAAAGAATGAATGCCGGATGGATGGAGGGGTATGCTTGAGAGAGAGTGTGCACACACATGGATGGACTTGTGTGGAGTGAAAGAGTGGATTGGATGATCAAGGGGGGAAAGTAGGGAGAAGCAAAGGGGAAAATACACATACTCTTGATTTTGGTCCAGCCCATTGCTGATAGGTAGCTACAACCACTTTTCACTAAGGCATCCTTCAACTTAAAGGACCTCCACCCCGGCTTAATGAAAGCATGTGTATTTGAACAAATTTTTGCAAAAAAAAAAAGGTCTTAAAGTCAAGCCGACTTTCCTATTTAGTTATTGTTTCAGTTTGACTGAATCTAGCTTGGGAGCTGTTTGCATTTCTTTATATTTGCACTTTCAATTTTGACAGGTATTGCAAATGAACAAGTTGTAGTAACTCTTTAATGTGGTAGTTTATTGTCTGTTTTCTTCATTCTGTGAATGAGAGCACACACTGTCAACTATGCTGTCTTGCAAAAGTTCATTTCTCTCCTCTGGCCCTTGAAGATAATCAGTAGGATACTATTCAAGTCTTCTTTCATTTAAAATGCAATTAATTAGGGCCGTAAAATACATCTGGTACCTGTTTAAAAGACACTTTGTGTAATGCTAGGTATTACAGAAGTATAGACTTGAATGGTATATCCAGTACAATAGTATATGCAATAGTGACTACAAAGAAAGTGGTCTGTTAAAAACATAGCTGATACTACCAAACTAAAGTTTGTGGTAGACTGTATAGTATTACTTGGGCGAGGAAGAGAAAGGAAGAATCCAGGGCAGGGATTAGGAACTTATGCTGCTACTTCAAGCTGTTGTATAGCAGCTCCTAGTATCCACTGGTCATGCTGGCTTGGGAATTGGACATTTTGGAAGACAGAAGGTTCCCTTTCCCTGGTGCAGGCTAATTAGGATTTGCTAGAGCAGGGGTCCTCAAACTTTTTCAACGGGGCCAATTGAAAGGTGCTGGCAGTGGGTGCGGGCCGGCAAGGCGGTGCCGGGTGCGGGCCAGTGAGGGGGCTGGGGCAGCACACACGCAGCGAGGTGAGACAGGGTGGACACGTGCGGCGAGGCGGGCGCATGCGGCGAGGCAGCAGTTTGCTTGCATAGAGATTGTGTTCTCCGAGCGAGTCCAAAATGATCTCTGCACAAGCAAGCTGCTGCCTCACTGGCGGCAGGTGCGGCAAGCCCAAAACCTCTGAGGCGGGCCGGATAAATGAGCATGATGGGCCGGTTCCAGACCGTGGGCCATAGTTTGAGGACCCATGCGCTAGAGAATATCAAAAACTTTAGAAGAAATAGTACTAGTAGCTGCCTATTACTTAATGGTTTTAATTTTCAAATATGTATGGAGAACACAATGCTGTCATCCATAGCACTGCAACCATATCTGAATATCTCTGGAGATACATCTAATTCTAGATAGGATGCCTCTTGTATTGGTTTATTTTGATTATATCATTCCTGTATCTTGGGCAGCACATTATATATTGGAACAGTAGTGATAGGATAAATATGTTGTAGTGACCATCAGTTTCTGCAGTTTTATGGGTTTGCTTATCATGCCAAAATATAGATTTTTTTCCTGAGGCATGTTATCCCCTAGTAACAACTTATTTTAATATAAGTCTTCTAAGGAAATAAGATCAACATGGAATGCAGTCATGAAAGAAATTAATAATGACTAAGCTATCACTTTTGGTACTGTCCATGAGCTTTAATGCTGGGAACAACTGACGGCAAAAGAAGAAGGGGGTGGCAGAGAATGAGGTGGCTAGATGGAGTCACTGAAGCAGTCTGTGTGAGCTTAAGTGGACTCTGGGGGATGGTGGAGGACAGGAAGGCCTGGAGGAATGTTGTCCATGGGGCCATGATGGGTTGGATGCGACTTTGCAACTAACAACAACAAGCTATCACTAAAAGTGAAGATGGACTTGCAGGATTCCAGAAATCTGAAGTATGCTCCCAGTCTTCATTGACCTTGAGCATAGGTTCAAGTACAAAGACAAATGGCAGAAGAATTTCCAAAACAGCAACTGCAGTCCTTTCCTTTAAATGTAGAAAAATAATCAGCACTGGGGAGGATTAACACCCTACTGCTAGTGATGAAGATCAGCAGTGCATAACAAGTAATACATGATATAAAATAAAATGTCTCTTCACTTTCTCCACACCATGCATAATTTTAAACACCTCTATCACATCACCCCTTACTGTTTTTCTAAACTAAATCCCAGTTGTAACCATTCCTCAGAGGGGAGTTGCTGTAAGGCAGGCCCATCCAAAGGCAATTAGGGAACACCAATGTAGGAGAGTTTTCCCATTGTCCATTTTAATGATTACAGAATATTAATTCCCACTTTCCTAGCTTGTCCTGCTGGAAATTAGGAAATTCTGCTTAAAAATTTAATTAGCTAGCAAGCAAATGGGTAATCCAGGTGACAGAGAAATGTACCTGTACTGTAAATTAAACTACCCTTGCAGACTCCCAAAATGAATTGTTGGCACAGCAAAATGGCCAATTCTTAGTAATCATATCTAGGTTATATCACAAATATTTTTTACTGATTATATTGATATTAGTAAAGTTTAGTACTACTTCACATTACTTTGAGAATGCCTACGTTAGCACAAAATGCTACATCAAAATTCTGAAGACTCCTAGTCTTTCTTGAGCAAGTGTGAGCCAGAAAAAAAACAAAACTTAGCTTTATGACCAAACATACCTCCTGGCTTCAAATTTTAACTGGTTTCAAATTCGGACTTGTTAGGGGATTTACCAAAACGTGATTCTTCATTCAGACGTAACATCAAACTTTCCTCTCCTGGTGAGTTCCTACCTCCTAAGGAATTTGATTCATTGAATTGTGTGGGACTTATTTTGAAGTAAACACATTTAAGTTTACAGTGTGAAAGAAACTGTAAAACATTCATTTGAGAAAGTGTAGGGAGAGATAAGACTGGGAATAGAAGAACTGCTAGAAGAAGCTTAAAATGTTTTTTCTCAAAATTCAAGATTGTAATGGGTACACAGTGAATATACCCCAAAGAAATAGCTCAGGTCTAGAATTAATTCTTTGCATAATCAAATGCAATTCCATTGCTTTCAGACTCCCTTTCGCTACTTCAAAAAGATTAATTTTCTTACTGAAGTTACTATTAATAAGTGAAGCATTCAAAATAGTGACAGGATGTTGTAGATTACTTTAAGAAACTATTATTTGATATCACATTCTCAGTTGTTCACTAGCAGAACCCATGACAACCAGAAAGTGGGTAAACATATGACGTAAAAGCATTTTGCTTATTGAGCTTGACTTGCAATCAGAAGAGTCTTTGTTTCTTTTCTTCAAGCTAGGAGGCATGCCAACTTAAACCATGCCTCTGAGGTTGGTAGTCTCAAGAAATGACCTTGAGCTCTCTAATACAACTTTGAATTCCAGTGAAACCATTCAGTTTTTTACCCACTGCCATATTGCAGCCATCAGATTTGGGTAATGAAACCATTAACTTTACCAATTATTTCTTCTTTTAAATAGCAAATAAATAAATAAATCTAGCACTTATTCAACTGAAGAACACCCTCCTTTCCTCAGAAGAAATAATCTGTATTCCCGTAGTGCTTCATCTGCTTCCTCCTGATTTACCTCTTACTAGTAAATTCTCCCACCCTGTGCTTAATTATATTTATTTGTATCTAATTATCATGGGTTTCATTGGAGCTTGCATGGCCAACTACATGTGTGTGGGACTACAGTCTTGGGGATTATTTTAAGTAAGGAAAAGATATTATGAATGTGAGGTTTTTAAATACTAATTCAAGACCAGTCTTAAGTATGTTTGAACTATATTAAATATAGTAGTGACATAGGTTTAGGCTATCTCATGTTTCAAATTTCAATTGGAAAGTTTTGCTGCCTGCACAAACAAGAGAAATTAGTAGTTTTACACCATGAAGAGTTAAGAGGCAAACATTTCTTCTGCTTTTGTATGCCAAAGCAAATCCTATATATATCTGAGTAGTCTTAATGGTATCAGTAACCGTTGAGAAACTTGTGGTGGTATTAAATTACAAATTAATATTTGTAAGTAGGGCAAAACCATATTAGCACAAATCTGGATTTGTGGAGTATAAGTTAAATGGCCATGGTGCTATTATGCCACATGTGATTTTCCTAAGGACTTGCAGGGTACATCCTTGCACACTTTGTCTTTTGCAAAAATAGACTTCTCCATTTTTTTTAGTAGGAAAAAATAAGCTGCAGCTAAGACTAATTTGTACTGTTGGGATGGGAATCACATTTTGCTTTGGTGGGGAGTTGAAACTGGCTGCATTGTCTAGTAAACTGCAGAGAAAGGGTACATTCTATGTATACCAACACAGAAAATAAAACAGTCTTGCAGCACCTTAAAAGACAAACAAATTTATTATGGCATTAACTTTGATGTGCTCTGACAATTCTGTTACATAGATATTGCAGAGACCAGCCAAATGGAACTGAGGAGATATTTCCATCCCTGCTCCTGAGCAAGCCATATCAGACAGGAAGTGAAATGCTTTCCATGGCTGTCCCTTTTGAGTGAGGGCTAAACTGACATTGCAGACCATACAGTGAGGTCTCTGAAATAGTTCCACACAAAATGGTAACATTTGAGAATAGCTTACTGTGTTAACACCAGTGATTGCATGGAGAATCTTTGCATCTGAAAACACTATCCTGAAGACTTTCAGTTGTTATAGCCTCCAGGTTGAATGAACCATGGGTATTGAATACATGGGTGTCTTTTAGGAAACCTCCAGATGGGAACTTCAACATTTGAGTTGCCTAATCGTGGTCTGGAAGCATCCTTAGATACTGGCAAGTGTTTTGCATTTGCTGAATAGCAATTTTAGTGTAAAGCTATATTCATCTGACTGTTTCTTCCTCCTTTCCTCTAATTCTAGGGGGAAATTTGCAGTGGTAAAGAAGTGTGTGAAGAAAGAGACCGAAAAAGAGTTTGCAGCAAAATTCATGAGAAAAAGAAGAAAGGGACAAGATTGCAGGATGGAGATTATTCATGAGATTGCGGTTCTGGAACTGGCACAACGCAATCATTGGGTTATTAACTTACATGAAATATATGAAACTCCAACAGAAATGATTTTGGTTTTGGAATAGTAAGTATAATTTAATTATGATAATGTATATTTATAGAGTGATGAGTTTCAATAAATAATGTATGTATTATTTGAAAATGGCGTATTTCTGACACTGGTCCAATTTACTGCTTATTTATTCTGATAATCTTGGCATATCTCAGGAGCTTTGGGTAGATTACATATTTAAAAACTGCATACATCCAGATAAATATTGGGTGTAATGTTTTGTCCATGGCAGTTTAAGCCTCACTACCAAACAGAAACCAAAAGTATCTTTCACCGGTTCTAAAAAGTGACTCAGGTTTGCCCGGGTTCCCTGAAAAGTGAGTTCATAGCTATAAGATATATAACCAATCTGCCATGCAATTTGGGCTTGGTACACAGATGGAATAATTAACAGTATGTTTTGTAATCCTGATTATTATAACTGAATACTTGAAATGTATTATGCAAATGATGTACACTTAGCATTTAAATAGTGCATGTCAAGTGTTTTAAATGCTCCGTAGGCATAATCTCAGTAATCTATTCTACATGTTGGTGAGGTGGACTGATATTCCTATACCTATTTTGTAATTGTGGTTGCAGCTGAGAGAATAGAGATTATCTTGTAAATACTTGGGTGTGAGGCAAGATTCCAGCTAGGGTCACATTCTTAGCTAACTGTTCTTAATGTAGTGGCTATGAGTTGGATAATCCCCAGTTCAGTGAATGTAAATGGTATATGCAATGTCTTTAGACATACGCAATTCAAACCAGTATTCAGAAAGTTTACACAGAATTCAGAAAGTCCCATTGATCACACTGGACTTTATTCTTTTAAAATCAGTTTTAATGAATGCGGCTCAGAGTTGAAAGCTTAAACTAGAAGACAAATGCTGAAACACTGCACAAATGCTGAAACCAGCACAAATGCTGAAACACTGCAAGCATCTGGATAGGACACAGATGCTTTTGAAAAATAAGACTGGGTTCTCAGTCAGCTGAAGTTCATAACTATTGTTTGTAGGTGGTTCTGTAGGGCACAGTAATCTGTTCTTGAAGTTGCAAAGGCATAAGATTTGCAGCGGAGTAGTCGTCATAACTGGTACTTTGGACTATTATCAAATGGTCTGCCTTTAAATATGTATTATTTCTAAGCTCTTAACTATAGACTGCAAAAAGTCTCTTGTCACTGACCAAATTCCTAATTTATTTATTTATTTAGACAGCTTATATGCCGCCCCCATCACATAAGCCTCGGGGCGGCTTACAATCATTAAAACCCCGCATCTAAATACAAAAAAAAATCATAGAATAAATAAAATACATAAAATAGTGGAAACAGCCTGGTTTAAATGTTCTTGGAATGTAATGACTCATTGAAATATGACTGTTACAAATCTCAACAAGTTCTCAGTTTGGTGTTAAAGAGAATGACCCTCATTGCTTCGTTTGCTGATTCTTAGAACTTACAGTTTTGTATTGTGTCTTTCCACCAAATTGAAAAGGTGGCTCACTGCTGTAAAATAGATATGATTTAGAGCATGGAGCCAAGTTTAGGTGTGTGCAACAACTGGTGGAAGGAGATGTCCCTTTTCCTATCTTCTGATGAAAGGCCTTCCATTCCCTGATAATTCTGTACTAAGGGTCAGGGGTCCCTGCTGAATGGGATAGATTATGGTACACCCAGAAGGGGGATCCTTAAAATAAGGCAGGTGCTCCTTCCATGAACAGAAGGTGGCCCTGCCCAATTTTCAAGACTTCTCAGCCTTCATCTCAGCTCCCCACACAACATTCAGTAAGATCCCCCAACTTTCCCTTGTACAGTGGTACCTTGACTCACGAACTTAATCCATTCCACAACTTGAGTCGTAACCCAAATTGGTCATGAGCCAAGTCAAATTTCCCCATAAGGTTCAATGTAAATAAGGTTGATCCATTCTGTAACTATTTTTTTTAATCACAAAAAATTGAAGCAAAGTGACAAAGAACAACAAAGACTGCAGCCATTCCCCCCCACCCCAGCACAACTGTGATCGCGCCCATGTTCCCTGCACGAGCGCAACCCAGATCGCTGCCATAGATGGGCGCAATCGCGGGCGTGCTCGGGGGAGGAGGGGAGATGGGCACGATTGGGCTCGTCACCTTATGCGGAGTTTGCGACCTGAGTAAAAATATTTCTTAAATTTTTGTTTGCGATCCGATTTGGTCACGAACTGAGGCATTCGTGAGCCAAGGTACCACTGTATTTTCAGTGAGCTGGACAGGCTTCTGTGTAGCAGGGTACACAGTCTAGTTGCACACACCTAAATCTGAATCCAACTCATAGTGAAATACAAAATATAAAACAGCTCATAAAAAGAAGGCAAAACTCACCAGTAAAACAAATAGCTTTTTTCAGAAAGAAGATACATGCAAGCAAATAGACATTGAATATTTTGCATCAGAAAGAAAAAGAAGGTGTATCACTGACAACTGGTGCTAGTTTCAAATGCACTAGCAGCCAGTGCAGCTGATAGTTGGTGTAATATGAGGCAACTGTCTAGCCCTAACAGCAGCTGCATTCAGAACCAGTAGAAGTTTCTGAGTCATCTTCAAAGGCAATCCCAGATATGACCATCCTCTAGGACAACCATAACTGAGGGTAGGCCTGATTTCTCTAGATAGAATTGCATCTGGCCTACCAACTAAAGTTGGCAGAAGGCATTCCTGGCTGCTGCAAATACCTGTCCTTAGTGAAGAATCACAGTGGTACCTCGGCTCATGAATGCCTCGGTTCACAACCAAATCGGATTGCGAACAAAAATTTCATGAAAATTTTGACTTGGGTCATGAACTCCACATTGGGTGGCAACCAAGATCGCAGCGATCCCCCCCCCCCCTTGTGGGGAGATGGCCACGATCGCAGTTGCATTTGTGCAGGGAAAATGTGTGTAATCATGGGCGCACTCTTGCAGGAAAGACGGGCGCATTCTTGGCCATCTCCCCTCTAGCAGCAATTTCTGAGGCTGCCCAGGTAAGAACTGGAGCCACCATAACACTGTGCCACATAAACCCAACCCTGCCAGGCAATCCAGAAATATAGCATAATTGATAGTAAAAAGCCACAGGGAGAACTAATGAAGACTCCATTTATCCATTCCCCAGCATAAGGCATTTACCATTTTTGTCTTTATACCAAGATTTGAACAGATCCTAATAACCTTTTTCTGTATTATAAAAGCTTGCATGGAAGAATGGCAGCGGATCATGTTTACATCACATTACTGCTTGTTATCCATTTTTAAAATGAAACGTAAAAGTCCTCACCAAGCAATAGCTGGAACACTCCACTGTTTTCAAATACTGCTGGAGGAGAATTAGGATATAGGAAGATGTTGCATTTTGAAGTTTCCAAAGTGACATACAACAGGTTTTAAAATAATGAAATCTAAATCCAAAGAAGTAGCAGCAATAAAATAGCAATTTAAATACAGATAAAATACTAGCAAGTTAAGAATAGCTTTTTTTCCATCCAATTGTTCATTTGAAAGGCTCAGGCAAATAATGTAGCCAAGCCTGCAGTCAAACTTGTTAATGAAGTTCCTCCACCCTGCCTGACATACAAAGGCAGAGCTGTCTGTGGTAAACAATGTTTGACTTTTGCAATATGACTGCTGAAATGAATTGTATTTAAGTGAGCATACATTAAGTAAGAGTTGGTCAGTTCTTTTTTTGCAAGTTTTTACTGTTTTCAATTTTTACAAATATGCCCAGTAAAAAAAACAGCAACACCTTAAGTTGCAACTTTTTCCAACATCAAAGAAAAATGGTTCAGTAAACGGAGAGAAAGGGGAGAGGTCAGTATGGAAGAAGAAATATGTTCTTGGTGCATCAGTTTAAAACTAATGAAAGTGTATGAGTTTCAGTACCAAAATAAAGCAGCAGAGTTCTATACTAAAGAGACAGTTTGGTCACTTTCTTTTTTGCATGTTAAAGCTTCTAATATATAAATGGCATTTGCTTAGTTTATTATAAAGAGTGTAAGTAGCACAAAGTTGGCCTAATTGTCCAGATAAATTACATACAACGCTTATTGCAATGATGCTTTTTTTCCCGTCTCCCTTTCCCCAGTTCATGACTAAAGTACAATAGGGCAACTTGGTCTCTGTCAGGTTGTTACTTTACTGATGTACTGTGGTTGCAGTTGTGAAATAATTTCCTTGCGGTCAGCTTCATATTGCATTGAAGTAAGAGAAGATGTAAACATGTTGGTCCGCTGGATCACATTGCTAGTTGATAATGATGTATTACATGGCTTCTTACTGGTGAAAACATTTGGTTTACTAAATCCTCCCCCCCCCCACCTTTTCTTTTTTTGAAGGAACTGGATCAGGGCAAAATCCTACAGTTCTTTACTTGAAAATAAACCCCACTTCTTTGTAACTCAACTCCATATTATGTATGGTCAGTACTGCCTTGGGCTTTGCATTTAGAATAAGCCTCACCCCCAAAACAGAACAAAACCAAACAAAACTGAGTGACAGCCACCATGGTCGTTATTTCTTAGCCAGGTTTGGCTGTAATACTGTACCCAGATAGATTAAATTCCTTTGACTAAAGTTAGATTTCACAATCTTTGTGCAGGATACAGCCTTTAAGTTCTAAAGTATTCTAGTTTTGAAGATCAGTGGTATGTAACTCACTACCTATTACTCCTTAACACAGTGGTGTAATTCTATGCATGTTTAGACAAGGGCTGAAACTCTCAGTATCCCCCAGCTAGTCATGATGTCTGGGGCATGCTAGGAGCTGTAGGATTTTTTTCCACGTAAACATGCATATAATTGTGTTTTAAATCAAAGAAGACACTTGGTCTATGAAAATGTTTACAAATATTTGCTAAACAGAAGAGTACTTTATCATCATAAGATTGTTCCTGGAAGGGGCAGGGGGCCCCTACCCACTCCCTGACGTTTAGCTGAAGAGGTTTCCCTCCAATCCAGGCCTTGCGCTGCGCGACAATGCCCACATGTGTGATGCACAGAGACCATGAGGAAGAATAACCCCTGCAATAAAACATTGTCTACATAAAAACAGTAGTGCAAATATTAAATTTGGTTACACATCAGATTGAGGAATGCTTCTGTGGCTTCTCAACATTATCTGAACAGTCATATGATCATTCAGATTCCTGGGTTTGAAGCTGAAGACAGTGCTCTGAACCTTAGCTCTGGAATCAGAACTCCTCTACACTAGGGGTCCTCAAACTACAGCCCACGGGCCGGATACGACCTGTCAAGGTGATTTACCCAGCCCACCTCAGAGCTTTCGGACTTGTTCAGAGAAAACAATCTCTGAACAAGTCCAAAAGCTCTTAGCCGGTGCAGACGTACTCTGAAACTCTTTCAGTTTTGAAGACTAACAGAGAGCTGGCACATGTGCAGTTGAAGGAAACTGTTACAATTTGGCTCTTCCCCATATTGCACGCATGTGTTGCCTCTGAATACAGAGCAGGAATACAGAAGAGAGGAGGGCGGTGGGAAGAAAGAGAGACAAAGACACTAAAAAAAGATAGAGGGTTAGAAAAATATAATCAAATTTCCCTGTAACATTCAATGTAATAAGGTTAATCCATTTTTTTTTAACCACAAAAATATGAGCCACATCTCCAGGCTGCGGACCAAGCCGCGGCTGCCTTGCAGAGCCCGGGGGTGGACAAGCCAAGGTAGAGCAAGAGTGGGGCCGCGGCTCCCACGCCTCCACCACTGTCATCTCAGGGCAAGTCGCCATCAAGCAGCCGCCATGCTTCTTCCCCCCCCCCCCCCATGCTGCTTACCTCCCTCCTCATGGCCCCCTCTCAGCCAGGGGAGCCGGCCTGCGCTCGCCTCTCCAGCCTCCCGCTCCTGCTCCCGCTCCTGGAGCCAGGTGAGCGCTTGCAAGGGGACCTTCCTCCGGCTCGGAAGCGGGGTGGCAGCAAGGAGCCGGGAAGGCCTCGACCGAGCTGAGCATGCCCTCATGGATCCCCTTCATGTCGTGCTCTCCCTTTCAGTGGTTGGCACTGCGTCATCGTGGGCTTCTGCTGCAGCCCGAGCAAACAGCAAACATTTTTTAGCTTAAAAAAAGAAACTCACAAAATATTCACTAAGTCCTGCAACCCGAGTCCATCTTTACAAAATACATGCAGAGACATAATTTGTAGAGATGGACTTGGGTTGCAGGACCTAGTGGATATTCAGTGAGTTTTTCTTTTTAAAAAGCTATTTTATGTTTTTTAAATGAAAATAATAATTTTTAGCAGATTCAGAAGTTGCTCCCCTCCATCTCCCATTCTCATTTTTGCTCATGAAAAATAAATTGTAATGACATACATCATGTATTTCTATGGGTGTGCACTGATATGAGTGTAGATTTATTAGTGTCCTTTGGTTGCTATTGGAGATGGCGGTTAAAACAGGTGGTGTGGAGGTGACAGATCGCTTCACCACCGCCTGTCCATTGTCGCTTTCCAAAAAGCGATCCCCTGTGGATCACACTACCACATATATAAATGAGCTCTGTGCTCATGATGAGCTTATGATTGTTCTCTGCAGAAATGGTCCTAATCATTTCAGTTTTATACTCATTGTGTTGCTGTGGACACGTTTCTGGGGTGTCACCATCTCATTACCCAAAAGCAAGCCCATGCTTCCCATTGAAATACTAGTAAGTTTATGTTGATTAAAATTGTTCATTTTAAATATTGTATTGTTTTTCCTGGGTTTTTTTGCACTACAAATAAGATATGTGCAGTGTGCATAGGAATTTGTTCATATTTTTTTTCAAACTATAGTCCAGCCCCCAAACAGTCTGAGGAACAGTGAACAGGCCCCCTGTTTTTGAAGACCCCTGCTCTACATGCTTACAGCCAGTGTAGAAAAAACTGCACTAGTTGTTCTCTGAGGTCAGAAAAGTGAGGTCAGAAAAGTGACCACAGAGAGAGATTAAAGGAGTGTTTTGGGAGGAGACTGGAGTGGCCAGAAAATGAGCTATCTTGAAGCTGCTGCATTGTTTCCTTACCTTTCAAGATGCCCTGGCTAAATGAGGTGACAGGTAGTTGAAAATTGCTTCCTCTGCTCCCCTTGGTCTGTGTTGGATACCCACAGGTCTCTGAATTTGGAGGCTTATGGGTATTTCAATAGGATTGCATCCCTTAACCCTTTCTTGCAAAAATAATGAAGCTGAAAGAGCCTAAATGGTTTGGCTGATTTCCATTTTTTCTATGAAATCCAGTATTATATGCACACTTGGGCAGAGGTTTTCATTTTAGATTTTGCAAAAACATATAGTTTAGAAAAATGACTTGTAATTGCTATGTTCCTATCTTTCAGTGAATGTCTAGAGAGGCTACCAAAATAAAGAAAAACTGCTTGTTTGACAGTTAATCATGTCTGAGGCTAGCATGTACCTACCCTGTAATCTAAGAGTATATATAATCTATGAGAGAGAAGCCTTAGGTGTAAAGTTTCTTCTCTTGGAAATGAATATATCTATATATTCCCGTGTGTGTGTGTGTGTGTGTGTGTGTGTGTGTGTGTGTGTGTTTTCTTAGTGCTGCCGGAGGAGAAATCTTTGACCAGTGTGTAGCTGAAAGAGAAGATGCCTTCAAAGAAAATGATGTCAAGCGTCTCATGAGGCAGATTTTAGAAGGAGTTTCATTTTTACATCGAAATAATGTAGTTCACCTTGACTTGAAGGTAAGAGTATGGTTCTATAGAATTCAGACAAATATCCAGACCCAAAACTTTTATTTCTTCTTCAATCTCTATTATGTTAGAAGGTTCTTACTCCTTTATTTGGTGTTCTGATTTCACATTTTGGGCATAATCCTGTGCTCAATGCTTGGCACTGATAGGAATCAGCATAAGCCCTCAGCCTGAGGCTCCTCCCCTATCCAGCATGCTCCATTTTACTTTTATGCTCCAAGGTGCAGTTGCGACTTTGTGAAGTACAGCTGGCATGTTTCTTCCCATACCAATTGTGAAGCAGGGCAGGATAGAGGTTTAGCCTTCAGAGTTCCAGCTCTGAAGATTACAGGATAATCCTATAGCTTCCTAGACAATGTCCAGCTAGCTTCTTATGAAGTGGTCTTTGATTGAGCCCTTGTGCTAAACTGTTCTTCAGTTAAGCTAACATCCTGCTCTCCCAAACTGCAAACTTTCTAGTTCTTGATGCTTCAGCCCTACTGGAGTTCGTGGAGCAAACTGATCCATGGGCTCTGACTCTACTACTAGTTTCTTACTCTAATGTTCACACATTTATAGCTGTAGGTGAACCTAAAACACCAGTGGGTGGATGGCATGGACCATAAATAACTTGTAATGTCTTAATGAATAATAGACCTACAACTAATCAAATTTCATAATCCTTGGGCCACTTCCTAATGAAATGATTGAAAGGGAATTTAGGTTATCATGAAGTAACTGTGGTTGCCTCACACTGGGTGTGAAGCTGAAGAAGTAATGTAAAGAAATGGGGTTTCTAAGGTCATAGGGGAGAAACTGTGTACAGTGGGAAGTGTGCCATGGGCATAGAATTCTGTCATGTGAGGAAGAAGCCATGCAGTGGTGTAGCAAATAAACAGGTGTATTATGAGGTCCTTTGTTGGGGCAGGGGGCACCACAGAAGACCCGGTGACAGACTTTTCATAACACTAAACTGGAAAAATACTGCTCAAAAATCTGCTTTAATTTGTCAGTAATACTGTATCAAATGATTTAATTAAATGACTTGCAAAACAGAAAATGGGCTCTATGGAGTACATGGACTTCATGTAGCTCATTTGGGTATAATAAAGCTAGGATTTTTTGCGTGTACATGGTATATCTTTTATCATTTAATTTCCCTATCCCTATTTCCATCCCTCTGTTGTATCTCTTCCATCAGTCACTGGATTGTAATTACTTTGTGACAGTGACTTGTCTTCTCATTATTTTTAAAGTGGTATGTGTAATGCTATATTCTTTTCAGCCCCAGAATATTCTGCTAACCAGTGAATCACCATTGGGAGACATTAGGATAGTTGACTTTGGTCTTTCCAGAGTAATGAAGAATAGTGAAGAGCTAAGAGAGATTATGGGAACACCTGAATATGTGGGTAAGTTCTTAGCAAGTTGCTAATATGATCCTCAGGGCAAGTAGTATAGGGATTTGATGTACATACTTGGATTACACGAAAAGGAAGTGTCAGAGTCTCATCTGTCTATTACCTTTGTTAATCTATGACAGTGATCCAAAACGCCCAAGAAACCACATGAAAATGTATAAGTGTTCAAATTAGTGCAAGTTACATTGATAGTACTCAAGCTTCCAGTATCTTCATAGGTAAAAACTAGAAAAGTGTGAGGAAATTTCATAATGTATTCTATCTTTTTGGTATCAAAGCATTGCAACAAACTGTATTTTTTTTCCTGAAATAGCTCCAGAAATTCTAAGTTATGATCCAATCAGCACTGCAACAGATATGTGGTAAGAAGAACGCTCTACTGATCAGTTATTTAAAAACTACAAGTTTGCCTCTCATGAAGCTTACATATTTTATTTCTGTTTTGTTTTGTTTTGTTTTTTTAATTTAGGAGCATTGGAGTGCTAACGTATGTCATGCTAACAGGGGTATCACCTTTCTTGGGAAATGATAAGCAAGAAACATTCTTAAATATATCTCAGATGAATTTAAATTACTCCGAGGATTTTGATCTTGTATCGGAATCTGCTGTGGAATTTATCAAATCTCTTCTGGTTAAAAAACCTGAGTAAGTTGTGGGTAAAGGTTTTTCCCTGTTACTGTAAAACGGTGAAAGGCACAAATAGGAGTTGCAAATGTAAATTGCTGGTTCACTTTGGAAGGAACATTGCCAGGAATCAGCATTAGAGCCCATGGGAATCTCCCACTCACTTTCCCTCACACACTGATTTTAGCACATGTATTCTGGATTCAGTTTTCCTTTAATGTATGTTAGCCAAACAGGTTATTAAACCAGGATCCAAGTATTCCTCCAGAATAATTTTTCCTCCTTGAAATAAGCCAGTTTTAATCTCATGTCTGTGTTATACTTTCCTCTGCTAAGTTGTGGTATTACTGCTTGTACTGTAAGATCTAAAGCAGTATTGCAGACGTAGCAGTCCAGACAGAGAGCCATCCAGCTGTGCCCTGCTTGCACTTTGAATAATCGGGAACCTCTAATTTACTTCAATACTCAAAACCCCAAGCAACTAAGGGCCATACTTTTTCACATTGTGCTCTTTTAAAAGCCACTGCCTGCTGTTGTAGCAGCATTAGTGATGACATCAGCTTCTAGCACAACAGGCAAGTTGTCATTATAACCTATTATGTAAGTTGGGATTCCAGTTGTGACATAAACCAGGTTGTGGCTGCTAATTTGATACTACTAATCTAACTGCCCTCTTTGAAGAGAGCTTTTTGAAATTACTTGAAGTTTTAGAAATTGGTGTTTCTTCATCGTGGTCTCTGCGCATCACACATGCGTGCTGGGAAGATTCCTCTAGCTAAGCCTAAAATGAAATCTGGTGAATCTTGTTTTTTTGAAAGCCTACTTGGAAAGGCCTATATCTCAGTATTTGAAAAATTCAGAATCAAGACCCATATTTATATATCTGTAGTTAAATTATTGTGAAATTTAAGATGCAGTCTTAAGGAGCCATTTGCCTTACAGTGATCCAGGTCCTGAGTCACGTAAAGTAACTTCAGTATGGTGGCTACAGCATTGTATCTAGACACATCTTGTTTGCAAATACACACCATGCAAGTTGGCTGCCATCACTTAACTTGGGTTTACAGTGCCACAAAACATTCCTTAGGGTGACTTACAGCGGGTTCACAGCAACTCCAGCTAAGAGGTTTTACTGCATGAAAAATGCTTTCAGTGTGGCATAGCTCCCATGTAGACACCTTTTTGAGTAACCAGCCACCTGATAGTCATTTTGTGAATTTTTTTGGCCAGTATCTTTAAGCTACCCCCTTTCTGTCTAGGGAACGGGCAACAGCAGACGAATGCTTGCTACATTCTTGGCTAGCACAAACTGATGTTCCTGATACTATATGCTGGATTAAAGACACAGAAGAGGAGGCCAATATTGTTACTGTAAATGAAGAAGATTCTGCTTCTGAAAATTCTACAGATGGTGAAAAAACAGAAGACTCAGGAGTGACAGAAGAGCTCATTGTAGTGGCATCATATACACTGGGCCAGTGTAGGCAGTCAGAAAAAGATAACATTGTTGAACAGAAAACCATTTCCAAGCGGTTTAAATTTGAGGAACCATTGTTGCAAGAAATACCTGGAGAATTCATTTACTGAATTACTGCTCTTGTGACTTTGTGTGACTGGTCCTTTTTCACAAAGCCAATCTATGTATAGCCAAATACATATTTATATGCAGCTATCATTCTAGATATAGTAGGGGAAAAACATTCAAATGCAAACTAGAAACTGTGCCAAACATCTTATTTTTCTGTGCTTAGTACATGACCAGTGGCTCTTATAGAGAAGACCTGCTTCCTGTTGGTATGTGTAAAATATTTGAACCACACCTTCTGTTTAATAGGGATTTATAGAGCTATTCCTGTAAAAAGTTACCATTGGTAGGTATTTCAGTTGTTTGGACATGCTTTTTCACCTAGTAAAAGAACAAAATTAATTAGGATTCATGCATATGCTTTCTTTAGATATAGTAAGCTAGATACATTATTTCATGTTGGCTTCATCCTGAACCCACCCCCACTTCAGCTTGTAGTAGTTTGGTTTTGAGACTAACTCATAAGATTTAAATAAAGGCTGGAGGGGGAAATAAAACTGCTACTTGGCATTTTACCCTATGCTGGATTATTCAGACTTCTCACATTTCCATATTATGAATAACTTTGCTTCCTTTCTTGTGAATAGAGCCCTTATCTGTAATCTGTCATGAAGCTCAGTGCTTGTAAGAAGCACTAAGTTAAAAATTAGTGCTACATGTGGGAGGGGTGGTCTTTTTAGAATAAGTTTGTTAGTTTTGCTCTCTGATCTAAATACTTGTTCTGTATCTAACAGTGGACAAGTAAAGCTGTTCCATAATTGTTAGGTAAGGCCATGTCATTAAAAAGTAAGCTTTTTCAGTTTACCATGTACATGAAATCACCTCTTGCCTGCACTTAGCCAGTTGGCCCTTATTGTTCCTGCCCCAAACATCCATTATTCCTGCCTAAAGTTTTCTTTTATGAAACTAGATTCTTCACATGTATTTTGTTGCTTCTGTTTTTGCTCTGCAAGGTTTTCCAGTGCTCATTGGTCATCTTGGAAGATTACCAAAATCATGCAGGAAGAGAGATATGCTAATCTGCCACTAGGCAGATAAACTCTTTTTCAGTCTAGCTATAAAAGACACAAAGATGCTATAGTTTATGGATAAAGAACACATTGAAATCTAGTGACGTTCAGAGTATGCATTGTGTAGCATTCCTTAATTTTGTCTGTTATCAGTTCATCTGTTTCTTTTTAGCAGAAGCAGCATTTGTCTTCTAAAACAATCCATTGGTACAGCCACATAGTTCCTGCCAAATTAGGTAACTGGTTGGTTTGGAAATATTGTATTATTGAAAAACTTGATCCAAGCTGAATAATTTATCTTGTAAATTATTGATTTCTATAAAGTAATTGAAACCATGTAGAACATCACAAAATCTGAAAAAAATACCAGGGTGAATGCAGCATACTACTTTTATGAGTAACAGTTAAAGTTTGTGTAGATGTCTAACTTCAGACATCCTGGAGAGCTATAAGTGCTTCTCACTTTTCCAGAGGTTCATGCTTTTTTATATCATTTATGAAATCTAGATTAAAACAAATCTTTCGTGCATGTCTTAGAATTCACATAAAGTGAAAATAACCTTACTTTCTGACTCAAAAATGGAAAACATGGTTCCCAGTTTTTTTCCTTGTCTAAAGAGATGAATTTAGTAAAGAAATGAAGTTTAATTCATGTTTAAAATTATATCTGAGAAGCCAATACAGTTATAAATTTGCATAGCTAGGAAAATTAAATAGCATTTGCTAGCTCATTTGCTGTTGTAAAGGATAATCATTTTCCAACACAAAGTTTAAAAGGCAGTCTTTTAGCTGCACAGCAGTGGAAAGAGGAATCCTAATACCTTTTCATTTGTATTGTACAATAGTAAACTTATTAATTATTTAAGTTGTGAATTTTAATGTCCTGCTTACAAGGCCGGCATTTTGGGTTGGCTGCTTGATGACTTTTCTGTATTCTGTATTGTATTAACTTGCTGTGCCTTAAGTTGGGTTTTTGTACAGTTATCAAATTGTTTCATATATGTATAATGTTACAGAAGTCTAACATAACTTATAAGCAAAGCCTATGTCCATCTGTTCATCTAAAAAGTATGTAGCGAGGTCACCTACTAATTTTACAAAAAGAATATTATTCATTTCTAGTATATTTTGTGAGCATGCAGTTGCAAAGTAAATGTCTAAGTTGAAGGCTCTATTGTCTTGAAATAATTTGGAACCAAATAATATATTTTAGAGTCATATTATCCCAAGATACCAATTTCAAAGGTCCTATAGCAGAAAAATTAACATTATGAAAAAACGAAGTAATAAGTGTATGACTGGAAAAACTAAAATTCTCCAAGTGTTAATAATGAATGTCTATAATGAATGTCTATAATGTTACTTCCCCATGCAGTTCTTTGTGACTGTTTTATATTCTAAAATGGGCAACCCAATCTATAAACTATGATGCTACCCCTGAACCTTCTGCTATATAACACCTGAACTGCTTTTTTTTGGGGGGGGGAGGGGGGAGAAAGTAGAAACAGTAGATGTAGTTTACTTGTTTCTAATGCTGATCGTCACATCTAAGGATCTGGTATCTGCAATTGCAGAGTTAAACTTTGGTCTTTTAAAGTACTCTGCAGACAACACAAGGAGAACATGAAAAGAAGTGGGTATCAGACAGTCTGAAAAATTACCTGAGTAGCAAAGAAGTGTCATGCTTTGAAACAGTTCATAGAATCCTGGCAGTTTTACTGTAGTTACAGAATTTTCAACTATAGGCACAGAAGGCCGATTATGTTCTTCTGTTGGCCAATGCAGAACTGTTTGCCTTAATATGGTAAACTAGTTTTTCCAGTTCTTTAATGTTTGTTAGGACTTACATACCATACATTTTCATCCAAAAGGAAGTGAGGGAGCCAATACAGTCAGGAGCTGTTTTGTTCAACAGTTGCTTCCTGCTTCCCATAGGAGTTAAGAGGTATCTGGCATCCCAAAGGGTTGTCATCAAATAATACAGCTAATGGTTTAATTGTTTCATTGCCTGTGCTGTGCCTTAACTGATAAACCATTCCCCCTCCCATTCTAGCTAATAGTAGCACTTGCTGCACTAATGTCTTCTGGACATTACCCAACAGTTAGACTTTGAAAGTAGGCCACAAGTATTCAAATGCTTTCTCTATTTGTTCCTCAGTAGTTTCCATGAAGTTCAACTGAACTCAGTCAGACTGATTTAGAACTACTGTGGAGGATTATAATTGCTGTAAGTCAATCTGCTTCGTGTAATGTGTATAATATATAACAAGGAAGAATTTTCTTTAATATGGTGGATTTGACACACCACTTTCTTTTGTTGACAAACCAATGTGAAAGGGGAGCTCAGTTTATAAAAGTGCACTGCTGCCTTAAATTAGCAGAGTTCAACTTACTGGTCTGGCTTTAGCAGTTAAAAATTCAGCCTACTATACTTCCATTGTCATATTTAGAAAAGCTGACTATTAGGCAGAATATACATACTACATTTTACTGCCTTTTCATGACTAGAAATGATTTTGCCACAGTTAGGCTTAAGTAGCTCCTAGGTCAAGTAATAACGCTGCTGTAAAGAAAGCAATCGAAGTTGAAGAATGCCTGTGATAAAATATTCACTTACCATTACTTTCCACAATGTTTTTCATACAACAGTAAGAATGAAAGCAATAACTAGTCCTCTGGAGTATGTGTATAACATCTTGCTTTTTCACAGTTTGTCAGGAATATATTTTAATTTTAAGGTGATTAATAAATAGATTCACATTTATAAAAAAAAACTTTTGATCTTTTCTTGCTTCATATCTTTGACAGATTGAGAAGAAACCTCAACAATTTAAAATTTGCATTGGTTTCAAATTCATTTCAGCTCCATGAGCTGTCTAAAGGTGGAGAGGGATGTGTATTTAAAAGTATATTCAAACTTGGCAACCTTGAAAAGCAAAGCAGTATAAATAAATAGCATCTGTGCTCTACATTAGAACCATGTCCATGATTAGTAAATGCTATTGATGCGGAAGACTGCTTCTGTGCTCAGATCCTTTTCTTCTAGCTATTCACTGTATAAGCCTAATTCTTTGCGGTACTGCTATGGTTGTCCATCTGATTCTTCTCAAAGTGAGGTTAACCAGGGAAACGATTTTATTTAATTTTAAGATCATACTGAAGACATAAGCCCAAAAATTATATTAACAATATAAAATTAGCAAGAGAAATTTACAAACATAAACCTGTACAGTCAATATAGTTGGTAGGGATAATTATGACGAAAATTAGAAAGAAAGAACATAATTAGTTCCCATGTTTTCCCTTATTGTTTGCTTTAATACCTAAGCCACTTCCTGAAGCAATTTGGGTAGTACCACTGATTAAAGCAGGGATATTGAACTTAAGTACTGGGAGCAAGGGGTGGGGGCAGATCTCAGTCCAGCCCTTCATAGTTTCACAAATGCCCATGCTGTCTTCTGCACTTCAGCTGTAGCATTTCCCTTGCATGCTATCTTTTCCAGAGTTACATAGAGGCACTTCTATAAATATAGATACCCTGAAATCAGCCAACATAGGTTATTCAGGGCTGAACTGTTTAAGGCTACTTCTTGAAATAAAACTACGTAACTTTCAACTTTCTGAGAACTCTCTTTTATCCCATTTAGCATTTTTGATCATCTCCAGTATGTTCCTGCAAAATTACAGTATACTTGGAGGACATAATAATCTTTCTTGAGCAACTTGAAGTGTCCTTAGCAGACTCATTCTAGCGCAAAAGAACATCTAAATGTAATGATACAAAACAGACATTGGCTATAATACAGATGCAAAGCATAGAGGACAATCGACAATACATACTTTAACTCCAGCAAAAATCAATGAGTCTTTAGTAACTCCCCCTACATACGGGCATGCACTCTTTTTGGCCCACTCACTGCTGTAGTATATGGTTTCCTGTCGGGGGGTGGGGGAGCAGAAATGGCTGTGAAGTGAAGGGAGGAAATTTTATGGCTGTGAAGTGAAGGGAGGAAAATTTGTGCACTTGCATTAATTGCCCCCAATGGAACCTACTCCTGAGGTAACACATACAGGAGGCATTGTAACGGAACTGTTACAGAAGCTTCCCATATGGAGTTCTAGTGTTGAAACAAAGTAGCTCAGACTTCCTAAGATTCCTGATGGGAGACTGCCTGAAGACATTTCCAAGCAGTCTTGAATTCATGGAAGGAAGGAAGGAAGAAGTACGAAAATACAGCCCCAAAATTCACTCCTTTGCCTCATCCAATACTGTTTGTGCACCTTCTGATGTTTCTGACACTTTGTTTACTAGAGTGAGGTGAAGTAAGATGCAACCACCCAGAATATATAAGCATTGCTTGTTTTGAGACTGTACATTGCATTGTTCGTGCAATATAAAGAAATTCAAGTAATAACTATCAACATGCATCCTGATTGTTACACCTCTTGTCCAATAGCATTCTTCCCAGAAGAGAGGGGCACTGGAATACTGTGGCTGTTGAGGAGCTGCAGTGTGACTTCCTGCAGGTGCCAGCTGAGACAAAAAAAAGTCATAACTTAGACATTTTGAAAGATAAAAATAGAGATCAAATATAATTATGGTTATAACCTGAAATAACTTTAGTAGATGATGTGTTTTCCAAGACATCATAAAGTCTTTCAAAAGCCTGAAAGGTCCTATTAGGTGTGAACCATTTATTTATTATTATAAGTTTATCTCAGCTGGTCAGCCTGAACTGTCATGTTTCCGCTCCAGAAAATAAAACTGAGAGTAAATTACTTTTGAGAGTAAGGCAAGAGGTATGCTGGTGGGGAGAGGTTAGGGCCAGCACTTTATGCGATATGGCATCCTAGTTTCTTACCCTCACCTTCTACAGTACTTCCCCCCAAAATGCAGGGTGTGAGGTACAGCAGTAGCAAAGATGCAGTTAAATTTGCAACTTCAGAGACTTACATTTAATTTGGGTGGTGGACAGGACTGTGCCCTTAGATTTCTTAATCTCTATAGCATCACCATTAGACGCTCTTAAAAGATTTATTTATTTAAAACATTTATATGCTGTCCTTCACTATCGTGTCTCAGGACAGCTTACAAGATTAAAACAACAAATTAAAACAAGATTATAACCATAAAACAATAAATCAATACAATAAAATTACCAAGCCAATACAAATAAAAGCAAATGTGAACCACAGTCAAATCCCTTTAGATCAAATTTACATATGTATTTAATTTACCTATGTATATACTTATAAGTACCTAGGAGCAAGCACCCTTATTAGTTAGATACTACTAACAACTTATTTTTTTTGCTTACACACAATCAGTGCTCACCAGTCATATGATGCACTGGTATAAATCAGCTGAAACTTTAGCTTAGTTTATGTCTGCAGGTCATATGAATGGCTGCTGGCAATGCAATTGCATATATATGAGACAACAGGAATATACTTCATGAATGGCTGTATTGTGTGCTTCAGCATCCAAGCCCTGTTTCATGTGTGAACTGAGCCCAATAACAGTCAGTTTTGCATTTAATCTCAGTAGCAGCTTTGCAATGGGAGCAAATTGGAAAGAATTCAACCTGAGCTACTCTGCACAAGAAATGATGCAAGTTAGAATCAACCAAGTTACCTTTTGTGTCAAGTGATTTAGTCCATACTTCATGCACATACCCATCTCCCAAAGACTGCAAATTTGATGCTGAATGACAGGGCTGAACACCTTTTTTTCAAACTGTCTTCTTTTTAATACACACCTTTTGAGGGAGAAGTCTTTTTCTGCAGTCACATGAAGATAACCACCTGACTTTGATCCAGACACTGGTATCTTTAGCTGCAAATACAAAAGTTAAATTTGTTTTGAATGGAACAGTCTTACAACTTGGAGCACACCAAAAATATATCCAATGTCTTGATATCCCAGATCATCATTCCCTGAGTTTGCAGTCAGGGAAAGACAACAGAGTGCCTCATTTCCAGAGTTACCTTTGCGGGGCACTGGTTGCCATGCCTTCCAAACCATGCAAGGATGGGTAGTACAAGTGGTTGTGGGGTATGTAGAATAAGCCATGGGTTGTGGGGTGGTTTAGACACCATCCTCATCACTCACCTTCTGTGTTTGGATGACATGACAGCCCATGCCAGGCAAAAGCAATGAGGTGTGAAATGAGATGGTGCATGACTACCATGGACATGGACCACTGCAGCTTCTTTTCATTCTCTCATCATGCAAGTCCAGTGTTTGTATGATCTTCATAGCCGTGTTGCCCTATGAGTCCTTTCAACAGACAGAAAATATGCCTTATTAGGTCAAGTAAGCCTTTACTACAGATGCATGTTTCAATCTAAGTTAGCTCTCCATCTCTGGGAATCAGTTGCTACAAATCTTGTTCCACAAGGTTCAACCTTGTGAGGAAGTTTAATGGCTGAGACATAGAGTCTTTCTTAATGAAAATTTGAAATATGATAAAAGGCCTATTTGCATGTTACTTAGCTTCCCTTAGCGTCATCCTACACGATCCAAAGTTTCGTAGTGTGCAACAAAATGGGTCTGGCAATAACGTATCATGCACTCATTCCACTGCCTGGAAAGCAATGCTCATGTGCAATGGAATCGCATAACTGGCCCCACTCCTTTTACTCCTCTAAACTGGAGCAATGTTATTTGCACCAGAACCAACTAGACCTGTGTAAGCCATTTCTCAGGTTCTCAGATCCAGTAAAATCAGAAGCCTATTAAGTCATTATCTCAATCAAGATAATGACCTTTTTCTGTTTTGTAGCTTACTTCCATCTACCACCAAATATACCCAATTCAATTAAAACCAGATTAGCAGATAAGCATACTGGGGTAGCCCATCTAGACCAATGCTGTCCGGCTTTCATGCCCATACACTATGATTGTGAAGACAAAAGTGTGGATGATGTTGGCCTTGGTCTCTAGTTTAATGCCTTTTCCTCCCTAGTTACTTCATTGTTGCTCTTCCATGTCTCAGTCACTGTCTAATATTTTGGCTGCATTTTACCTTTGAAATGATGACTGAGCTATGATATTTAAAATCTTTCACAATTCCAATTTCTTCATTGTTGATACTCAAGTTGGATAATTCTTCTGTGGTCACTATTTTTGTTCTTATAAAGTTCAGCTGCAGCTATTTTTGCACTTTCCTCTTTCACTTTCATCAGATGTTTCAATTCATTGCTGCTTTCTGTCAAGTAATATGGTATCTTAAGCATATCTTAAATTTATTGATGTGTCTTCCTCCAATTTTCACGCCTTCTTCCTGGGATTCTAATCTAGCTTTCCTTATACATTCTGCATACAGGTTGAACAGATAAGGAGATAAAATATGTGCTTGTCAGATGCCTTTGCCTATAAAAAGCATTTGTTTCCCCATATTCTGTTCTAAAAGCTTCCTGTCCCCAATGTAGATCAAGCTTCAGGACAACCAGGTGGTGAGACATACCCACTTGCAGGACCATCCATACTTACTCATGATCCACAAACTCAAAGACTTTGTAGTCTATAAAGCTTCTTCCTCTGAAATCCTCTCATGCATCACAGTAGCTAATGTGTACTTGCAATATGATCTCACGTTCCTCTTCCTTTTCAGAATCCAGCTTGAACATCAGGCATTTCTTGCTCCATACAGAGTGAACATTGCAATACCCTGAGCATCTCTTTGCTTGCATGGGAAATTAATGCAATGGTCCTATAGTTGCTGCACTCTTTAGCATCTCCTTTCCTGGGGACTGGAATGTATATAGGGTATTCCAATCTATAGGCCACTGTTTTGCTTCCAGATTTGTTGGCATATTCTTGATGGGATTTGGACTGATTCATTCTCTGTAGTTTGGAATAGTTGTACTGGTACCTGATCTACTCTGGGGGCTTTATTTCTTTCAAGTGCTTTCAGAGCAGCATTCACTTCACTTTCTAATACCGCAGGTTCTTTGAAGGAGTGTGTCATCCTTTAATGACATCTTTAATGGTTCTTCTGTATATTGTTAGCACCTTGTTTATTTCATCCTGTTAAGTCTCATTTTGGCACTATGCCTCTGTTAGTGATCTTTTCTATGTTTACTCCAATTTTTGATATTAAGACTTTATGGTCCTTCTCTGGGAGCCCTTCTTAAAGGAGATTAGGAGGGTGGCTACCCGGAGAAGGGCCTTCTCTGCGGTGGCACCCCAATTGTGAAATATGCTCCCCAGAGAGGTTCACCTGGCACCAATGCTTTAATCTTTTTGGCTCCAGGCAAAACCCTTTTTATTTTCCCATTATTTGAATGTTTAATAGGTTTTAATGTGGGCTTTATTGTACTGAAGTATAGGATGCTGTGCTCCATTTTGTTTGTGTTGCTTTTATTGTAAAACCGTCCCAAGAAACTAGTAGTTGGAAGGGATACAAAAGCTTTAAATACATACATACATACATACATACATACATACATACATAAGACATGCTGTGTTGTGGTAGAAGTTAACCTGTAATAGCTTGCAGTGTTTGCTGGTGTCCATTTTGGCAATCCAAACCATGTCAGGCAATCACCATGGCTAATTGTGTCCTCCAAAACTGGTGAAGTTTGGTTGCTGACATGGTTGACAAACCATCCAGAATCCTAACCTACAAGCTGTGACCATTTAACCATGCCAATACTGCATGGATTTGGAGAACATAATAGGCCATGCCACCCATCATGGCTTGAGTATTGAAAATGGCTGTTGGTATGCACTTGGGCTGTAGCAATCATGCAAGCCAGCCTGTGGTGTCCTAAAGGCTTCAGGGATCGTACCCTCCTAAAAAGTAGCATTATGTCATTTTATGCTGGCATAATGGATTGGATGTGCCATTTTGAAATGCTTATGTCTGGCCAAGCTCTAATTCAGTCTTCCAGTTAGCTAGAATTATCTCTTCCCTTCATTTCCTCTCCTCCACCATCAGCTGAGTCTTGCTCCGTCTGGCTGTTACCTGCGCTTTTGTCACATCCACACGATTGTTCTTGTCCATCAGTCTGATGAAATGTACTTTGAGAGGTGGTGCACCAAGTGCCTCCAGGGCTGCCGGGTCTTTCTGAAGCTGCTCAAGCGCCTCCTGATAGTATTGTGTTCTGGCAAAACTCTCTGAGCCAAAAAGGAAACAACAACAAACCCTTACCATTTTGGAAGTTATCCAGCGTAAGCAAATAATATGAGAAAGGAACACTGTTAAATATTAATCTGATCAGAATGGTGCCAATTGTTCTGATAGCAGCCAGAGCCAAGAAGGTAGAAAGATCATAGCCCTCCTGTTTTTGCCTTCACCTCTGCAGATTTCCTACAGCAATTTTCTGTATAAGTCAACCATGTTTTCCCGTAACCAAAGAGGGGCTTTATTACATCCAGTGTAGCATCATGAAATTCTGGACTGGAACACAGGAGAAACATGTTCTTGTTCCCACCTGACCATGAGGCTCACTGGGTGGCTTTGGACCAGTCACCAACTCTCATCCTAACCTATCTCACAGGGTCAATGTGGGAATAAATGTGGAGGAGGATGTTCACTGCTTTCCTTACAGGAAAAGGGAGAGATACACATAGAATAAGTAATAATTGATAATTATGCCAAATTTATAGGTCCTGTTTAAAATAGATCTGCAGGCATTAAGTTCCTGATCATCAATTCTGGGTAAGTCATTGGCATTGGGAGCTAGACTGCATTATCCAAAGCCAGTGGGGAACCTGAGATGACCATCCCCCTATGCTGGTGAAGCTGCCACATTTGCTCCAAATGGTGCTTTTGGATACTCTTCAAGGATAACCCCATACAGGGAGCACTGCAATAGTCTAACGTTTTTGTAACCAAGGCGTGAATAACAGCCACCAGATTGGAATGACGGTGAAAAGTCTGCAACCAGTGCACTGGATGTAGATGTGTAAACAAGCCCCTGGCCCCCATTACAGCCCGAAGATTGAACAACAGTTTAAGTTCCAGGAGCAGTCTTATGATCTCATTCAGAACAGGTTGAATCCCCATCAAGTTAGGCTTTCTATTGACTAGCAACACCCGCCCCGTCCTTCCTAGAGTTAATCACAATTTGCTCACTCTTACCCAGCCAATTATAAAACTTGGGCAACATTCAAGGGTGTCAGCTGCTTCCTTGAAATCAGCACCATCTCTGTTCCCCTCACACCCTGGGGCTTGTTTGGGAGTACTTGGCTTTTGAATGCAGACAGCACCGCTGGATTGTGTCTCATGTTTTTAACATAAGCTGCCCCAAGCTCCAGCAATAGGTTTGCCAAGCAATTAAACCTTATCAGTTTGTGGGGGTATTGCTACTTCAGCTTCAGTTTGACAGTGCATCATTCTGACTGTCTGTACTGTTGTTACACTGTTGTAAATAGAGGCCCACTTGGCTTGCAATAAAAATACCAAACAGGACATTGTGAAGCTATCAATATCATGCTGGAGCAGAAGTTTCAGTAATGTTTAGAAGCGGTAAAGACCAAGTTGATTGTTCTGTATGACGTCTTGGCAAACTAACAGCCCTTCTTCTCCCACTAGGCTAATGAAAGCAAGTAATCATAGGAAGGACCTATTTTGATAGAGAATACTTCACTATCTCTGTGGGAACCAGCTTCTATATTTTAAACACTAGTTTTATAAATCTATCCAAAACGGAAAGCAGAGTGCATGCTTTTTCTGAAAACCTACACAAACAAGCTAGGTTGAGGATGTTTAAACATCTCTGAAATGAAATTATGTTTCAAAAATGACTGGGGGATTTTTGAAAATGACCTCTGATTTAGCATCACAGTGAGGGTTCCTGTATTCCACACCAGCAAATTTAAAACTCTGTACCAAAAGAACTGGAATTCTGCAATCCTAGGGAAAAATTTAAACATCAAGTAAATAAGCATTATGGTTAGGGGAAACCATGGCATCTCAGAGACTCAGATTTAAGGTGTAGTTTTAACATGGAGATAGGTGCAAGGGAGCCATACTACACCAGGCCATTTTTCCACAACGTATATAAATGGAACATTTTTCAAAGGCCAGAAGGTCAGAGCTGACTCCTGCATTGATTTTTATCGGAGTCTGCAAAGGGCTTAGTGGTGAACAGTGCAAAGGAGGAAGGTGAAGAAAGGAACAGAAGAGTGGCCCATAGTGCTCACTTCTGAATGCTTCTCCATGGTAAAAAAAAATCCTTGCAAGCAGAAAACTAGCACCTCAACTATTTACTTCCTATGTTGGTATTCTATCTATAAAGAGCTTTTAACACTGGATGGCTAAACAGCTTTTGATACAGATGTGATCTTCCACCTGCAGTCCAAAATGATACAGCTCTTTCCACCATTGTAAAATTCTGCCACCTCGGCCTAGTAGACATGCAGTTGTTAACTGAGAGAGAACTTACTTTGGATGAAGTAATACATCAGAGCACTTCCCCCAGTAGATACAACTCCCAGATAAACAGCCATTTGCTGAAGTTTTCTCAAGGACGCTGGCATGTTTTGTTCCCTAAGGGGAAAGAGGGGGGAAAATAGACTTATTGTATATGAGAAAAACAAGGGAATTTTGCCAAAGCCCTTTCAATATTCCAGTAAAAGAGGCCTGAATGGAAGCCCTACATGCAGCATTCAAAGATTTTGGGGGCCCTGCAGTTCACTCAGGAAATCCAGAATAAGAACTGAGGCGGCTGGACACCTCAGCCCGAGTATGTGTATTTGTTCCTTTTAAGGATGCCATCCCTCCGCTAATTGGCGAGGAGAAAATGACCTCCCTGGTGTGGCTGACAGCCAGAAACACAGACCATTGTTCTCACAGCTTTACATGCTGAATAATATAGAAGAATATTATTCACGTCTTGGGGTGGGGATAGGGGGGCTAGATTTACCTCAAAGAATAAACATCATGGCTGAATTTGGTTAGGAGGCCTAGTAGTTGGGGGGAACCATGCAACTGCATTACCAGTAGGGATATGGTTGCTACATTTTAGCAGCTTTCAATTGCACACAGTCAGACACACACACAGTAGGAAGTGATAAACAGGAAGGTTTTGCAATGGGCTTTCATTCAACCTCTGCCCCTGCCATGCCTGTTCATGGGAAGTGCATATTTGTTACTTTGCTCTGTCATTCAGAGAGATGACGAATACCACAAGGAAAATAAAAGGGCAAGTCTGGCTGGTAGAAAATAACACTAAACAGCCTGGAGTCAAGAGTTTGCAACTTTTTTTCTTCTGTCTTTTCCCATAGCACCAGATTAGAAAGTATTATCTCCATGGCAGACTCTTATCATCCACTTTATGCAGTTTGTAGACATCTAGGGCTTAGATCTCCATGGTTTTCTACTAATTTACTGGCATGAATCTCTGATGGCAAAGCAGTAGAGTGCACACGGCCACCGGCCTTTATTTTTGGTCTTCTTTAATTAATTTACAAATTAATTAACTATTTACTCACAAAGACTGATATAACTATTTACTCACAACGTGGTAAACAAGTACAGTGTGCAACTGACTCCCTTGTAAGCCTTTTGCCTGTGTGTCTTGCCATGTGGTCAGGTAATAGCCTTGCCTGCATAGCTGCAATAGCCTTGCTGCAGTGGAGCCGGGGCTCTCAGGGTCAAAGCACCGGGACTTTCCAATTAGCAGGCACAATGGTTACATCTGCCACCCCACCATTTCCTTTTCTCTCTGGGCTTCCCTACAATCTTTACAGTAGGTGGCAGCAGAGGTGGGCGGGGGGATTCTCCCAGCAACAACATATTCTTGCAAGCTATTCCTGTTGCATGAAAGGACAAGTAAAACCCATTAACTTTACAAAAGATCTGTTTCTGAATTGAGATGAAAACTGCTGCCTGCATGTTTGGACTCCCTTGGAGGTTAAGTCTGCAGAGACTGTGATGATGAGCACTTACACTCCAATTTTTCCATCACACCACTGTGTAAAGGGACTGCAGGTGGCGCAGTGATTTAAACTGCTGTGCTGCTGGGCTGGTTGATCAAAAGGTCTCCGGTTCGAATCTGCACAACGGAGTGAGTTCCCGTTGCTCCATCCCAGCTCCTGCCAACCTTGCAGTTCGAAAGCGTGCAAATGCAAGTAGGTAAAAAGGTACCACTTCGGTGGGCAGGTAACAGCGTTCCGTGCACTTCGGTGTTTAGTCATGCCGGCCACATGACCACGGAGACTGTCTGGGGACAAACGCTGGCTCCCTTGGCTAGGAAACAGAGATGAGCACCGCCCCCTAGAGTCAGGCATGACTGGACTTAATGTCAAGGGGAAACCTTTACCTTTTTACTGTGTAATATTCACAACATTCCACAGCAGAAACATTGCCTGAATAAACCCCACTGAAGTGAAATGAACTGCATTGAGGAGTGGTTAGAGACATGCAACTGCACTGGGAAAGGCAGACTTCCCTACCCCTGATCCCATCTGAGGGCTTGGGGGATCCTGCTAAATGGGGAGAGCTGTGGTACCAAGGGAAAGGAGGAAACTATATTTCCAACAATTAGGCAAGCACACTTTATGCGATTAGAGCTGTTCCAACCACAGAAGGAAGGTAGACTTTGGATTCAACTCTAGCATTCTTGCGCAACTCCCATTAGGTTTGGTGCGGCTTGCATGGAATGCATTTCCAATGGATCACAGTCCATGCAAGGAAGGTTGAGAAACACCAGCAACTGAAGAGGCATGGCACAGATCCATTTACAGGAAGATGATCTGGGCAAAGCTGTGACGTGCTGATGAATGTTTCAGGAGTCTCCCCACTGAGGTATTATGTCATCTGCGTGATGAGTCACACCTTAAGCACAGGAATGTAGAACCTCAAACTTGAAAGCCAAATCTAGCTTGCCTTGGGTTCAGTCCAGTCCTCCCAGCTTCACTGATGACTATGCCCCCTGCCCCTACCCCCGCCTTTCCCCCAGCTACCAACACTTTTGTGACTTCCCAACTGTCACACTTTTTTGCATTCTAAATAGTTGACATGCCTCTCTTAAGGCTTAGTTACTGGCAGGAGGAACTTTAATCCAAAACATGCTGGTATTTTTGTTTTTTTGGCCACAAGGTAAAGTAGTGGGACAGTATACTTGCATCAGAATATTCTGAGGGAAATTAAAAATGGAAAATGATCCTGGAAATCATTTAATCTTCTTTTGCTGGCATCAGTGGGGAAAATACAATGATAAAATGATCTATCACAAGCGTAGCCAAACCGAGACTTGCGAGCTGCATGCAGCTCTTTATTTTGTGACTTGCAGAAGGCCTGAAAAAGCCTGAGGTACTTCTCCTCTGAGCAGACAAGCCAGCCAAGGAGGCACAAGTCTCTTGCTGTGATAACTAACTGTGGGGCTTCAATAAGGTGACTTCAACTCTGAGCCTCAACCAACCAAGGCTCAACCTGCAGCTGAGCCAGCAAGCACGAAAACCCTGCTGGAATCAGTGGACTCTGTCATGAAGTTTGTAAAGTTGAAGCATTGTGCGATCCCTACAAATCACCACCTAACAGCTAATGCATACTGCCTTGACAACATATCAGCCAGATTTTCAGTGACTCACAACCAAGAGGGAGATGCACAAGACCTCTCTTACTGACTAGTGATTTAAATTGTGATAGAAACATAGAAACAGAGCAAGTCAGAAGGGGTCTCCCGGACCATCTAGTCTGTCCTCTGGTTCCAACTGGCTCCACTCATGGCATGCCTACCATGTGCATGTCCAAATGCACATGTTAGGCATGGCATGTCATTGATTCAAATCAAGCTGATTTAAATCAAATCCACCTTGTTCACGAGGTTGCACCATACCTTTTCAGTTCTCCCCTTGATCTTCTTGATCAAAAAGAAAAGGGGAAGAAGTAGTAGTAGATGACAAGAGGAAAGACTATACAAAAAATCACTCACTCCATTTCATGCACTCAGACCATATCTGGGCCTATACATGTGCCCTCTTCCAGACCTGTCATTTGTTTCTATTTGTTCTCTCTTCCAATCAACCCTTTCCTTCATGACATTTTCCCCCTTCAAAATTTGTATTTTATCCATTCATAACTTATTGACCCATGCAAGGTAAGGATTGCAAAAATATTTCTGAGGGGGAAACAGAGGGATTTGTCACTATGAATAGGGGTCAAAGAGAAAGTCAGCAGATTTGACATCTAAACCTTCAGCCCAGTAAATGGGTAGCAATGGTGGTACAGAAATTAAATAGATAAGAAAACTTCAGCTATTGCATGATATAAAAATTAAATGATAAAATTATGGTGAGAGGGAATAGGGCACCTATGGGAAAATCAGGATACACAGATAACAAGTTCATTGCTTATGTAGGCAGAATTGGTTTGGAAACAACAGAAGGTGACTGGAGACACAAATATATCCATATGTATTATTACCCCAGGGGACTTCTCTATTAAAGTCCCCTGTCACACCCTTTCTCACAAAATGTTTCCTCCAATACACTGGAACTTCATCATTATCATTTGGCTTTGACATAACTCTGCGGTAAAAGTCAGTGTTACGTATGTTGCGAACTGGTGTTGGGATGCCCTTATTTGCTTTGAAGAAGCCATAAACGGCATTCCTGTAATACAGGAAGGCTCCAACAAAGCTGCGAATGAGATAGGGAGACTCTGCAGTCTTCATTTCATCACCATAACCACTAAATGACCTTGCTAAACAAGATGGAACATAACCACCCTCTGTGTTTTTTCCCCTTTATTGGCAAGTGGAACATTTCCCACAGGTTTTTCTTCAGCCTATGTGATATTGCAACTCTTCCGCTTCTCACCTCTCTTTTCTTTGCAGCAGGCTTCCCCAGTAGGATGCCCTCCAGATGTTGTGGACTTCAACTCCCATCAGCCTCAGCCAACATGGCCAGCAGCCAAGAATTCTGGAAGTTGTTGTTGAACACATCTGGGGGATAGGAGGTTAGGAAAGGTACCACCATGGATTCACTCCCAGACTAGCAGTTTTTGAAGAGGTACACAAGCTAAAAATCAGTTAGGAAGGCAAGCCACACAGAATACAACTTTTTTTGAAATCCCCCTGGCCTAGTGGTATGACTCTTTTTTAATTGCTTCCACATAAAACAATGCATAAAACGACCACAACTAAAAGATGCTCAGTTTGTGTTTTGGCCTCCTGACTTACTTCAGTAATGCTACCTTTGTGTCTTCCCTCAGGCCACCTCACCTATTTAAGCTAACCCCACCCTGATTACTTGGACACTTGAAAGCAGAGTATTCCTGAAGTGGATTTCTGCCTGCACTGAGTTACAGGAAATCTTAGTGATGCACAGTTTTCTTTTTAAAAAGAAAAAAATAAGAAGTTTCAGTATAACTTCTCTCAAATGCCTTCATGTAAAGCATAACTGAAGCTATCACCCCTGTGTAGGAGTTAGAAATAACTCATTTCCTTTCTTTCAGTCTATCTTAGTATCTTTCTCAAATGACACTTTCTGCATGTCTAACTTGCTTCCTCAACCAAATGTAAGAGATTGTTACAGATATTAAGA